AAGGCACTGCGATTTAGGGTTTAGGGCGCTTAGGGTTTAGGGTTTAGGGTTTAGGGTTTAGGGTTTAGGGTTTAGGACTGAAAGAGTCCTGAAAGCCACGAAGAACCCTAACAACAGCAACACCTGAATCCGGAAAAAAAAACCGAAGAACTATGCAAACCCTTCTCGCAGGTACGCAGGTGACGCCCGAGGCCCTGAAAAATACCTTAGCACCACCAACAAAATATATTGAGCCCTAAACCCTAAATCCTAACCCCCCCCCCTCCTTGCCCCGCCCCCACGTGGGTTTAGGGTTCAATCCGAGGATCTGAAATGGGGGGAGGGGGGCCCTCCCTCCCCCCCCCGAAAAAGGGTCACATTATTTGTTGGGCTGTTTGTTTTGTGGGTTGGGGGGGGGGACAGGTGGGCGGGTGGACGGAATGGGGCTGTCCTCTTCTGTCTTCTTGCGGTCCTCTTCTCCTCTTCTTGTCATCCGAATTGAGTAATTGTGTTTCGGTCCGGGGTTTTAGTATTACCTTCTGGGTAAGTTTTTTGGAAGGCTCTCCCCAATCTGATTTCTCTAAATCTCGGGAGTTTTGATTCCCAGGGTCCGGCCCTGAGTTCCGGCGACGTACGGTGTAGGTCAAGGGCGAATGGCTTTGGCATCGATCCTGTAAGGAATTGCAAGTTTCTGATGCAGCCTCCAACTCCCAAAAATCCAAGAGCACGTCGTGGGCTTGCATAAGCAACTCAAACTCTCCGTGCTTATCGTCATCGTAGGCCCGCCGGGCTTTCCACTATGTGGGTGTGTTAGTCTTCTGAGAGCAATTCTGTTTTTTGAAACCGCAGGGTTGTTCTTTGTGCATTTTGGGGGGTTTGGGCTCTCGTAATGCAAAGCAGTCTTCCTGGAGGGTTCGGGCCAAAGATCAAGTTCTTTAAATCAAAGGGCTTTATTATTCAGATCCTCGGATTAGGGTTTAGGGTTTAGGGCGTTAGCACCATTTAGACCCTAAGCCCTTGAACCCTAAACCCTAAACCCTAAACCCTAAGACCCTAGAACCTAAACCCCTTGCCTTCCAAGCCATCGAAGCTGAACGTGTCGCCAGCCACCTCCACCCAATTGAAATTGCAAGGGGAGGAAGGAGGGAGGAGGTGGGATAGAGTCCGCAGACCCCCCAAAACACCTCAACTTTAAACCCCAAACCCTAAACCCCTAAACCCCTAAACCCTAAACCCCTACACCCCTAAATCCCTAAGCCCCTAAGCCCCTCATCCCCTAAACCCCTAAGCCCCTAAGCCCCTCATCCCCTAAACCCCTAACCCCCTAAACCCCTAAACCCCTAAACCCCTAAGCCCCTAAGCCCCTAAGCCCCTCATCCCCTAAACTCCTAAACCCCCTAAACCCCTAAACCCCTAAACCCTGAACAAACGCTGCTTCATCCCGCGCGACTTTAGGAGCCGCTGTTGTTTGGAAAAGAGGCCAGAGATCCCTTGAGTGGTCAGGGTTTAGGGGTTTAGGGGTTTAGGGGTTTAGGGGTTTAGGGGTTTAGGGGTTCAGGGGTTTAGGGGATTAGGGCTTCCGAAGCCCTGACTCCCTAACCTCAGAACCGGTCGTGGTTTGGGTTTGGGGTGTGGCGTGTGTGGTGTAGGGTTTAGGGCCTCAAGACGCAAACGCCGTTTACTTCGTGCGCTCTTACTGTTCAATCAGTTTTCAACCCCTTTTAAGAGTTTGGGGGAGCTACACACGCTGCAAATCAGTCCTAAATCTCTGAACCTTGGAGGCGCAAAAACCACCAAACCCCAGCCTCAGAAGCTCCGCAACCCGGCGGGAAGGTTTTTTTGCTTTGGGGCATTTTGAGGGCTTGAGGACCTTTTGGGTTTAGCGGTGGTGGATTTGGTGGCGCATATTGCTTTTGGGCTTCGTCTTCCCGGGCCCTGAAACAGTTTAGGGTTTCGGGTTTAGGGTTTAAGGTTTAGAGGTTTGGGGGTTATATAAGGTTTAGGGTTTAGGACCCTGAACCCTAAGCACTATAGGGTTTCGGGTTTAGAGTTTTGGGGTTTATGGCTTAGGGTCTAGGACCCTGCACCCTGAACACAGCACCTGGTCGTCCATGATGGATGTCGCCTGGCTTTCTGCCTCGCCAATCTTAGGGGCTCTGGCAGCCTACACCCTGTGGTTTCGGGTTTATTTAGGGTTTAGGGTTTAGGGTTTAGGGTTTAGGGTTTAGGGATGACTATCGTAACAGTACAAGTAAAAAGGGACCGTAAGGGAAAACCATTAGTAATTCCTCCGACTCCTTTTTTAAGCCCTACTTGGAGGTTCATGGGTAGGCGGAAGCAGGGCTTGGGTTTACAGATAGTCGTAAGTGTGGTAACTCTCTTTATAACCCTATTCAAGGCACATATAACCCTACTGATAAGTACTCATGAACCTCCAAGTAGGTATACGGTATAGGGTTTAGAGTTTTAGGGGCTGGGCTGATTGCTGCTCCTACCGTGAAACCCCTTTAGAAGTCGAAAATCGCATTCTCTAGCCCAGCTACAAGGAGGGGCCCCCTAGTTATATTAATATAAGTAGAGATATGTCATATCCTCGAAGCGCGACTTTTTCGGCCGTGTTACGCAAAAAACCTTAAGAATTCTGTAAATGATTCCGGCCTTTCACAGGAAGCCGGGAATGAGTTCAAAATGCGGGGAGCGTGGCTAAATGCATTCGGACAGCTAGCTCCTTCCAAAACCACAAAAAAGCAATCCCCCCCCCACCCACCCTTCGGCCCGAGAACCCGCGGTTGCTATGGCCCCTTTTCAGCTCCAAAGTCTGCCCTCAAAAATTCCCCCCCCCCCCCCCCCAGAACCACAACACGGAAATTTTCATTGCACTTGCAACATCTACTGCGACATGCGCAATGCCGGCACGGACTAGTTGGAGTATTGGAAGCCTCTGGGATCTGCCCCCCTGAACCACCCATGGTCCTTCTACTGATAGTATGAAGCATCAACGTCAGACCAGTTAACACCATCTAACACCGAATTTCACACGTTTAGGCATGGCTTGCTTTGCGTGAGCCAAAAAAAAGCGCCATACGTCGATATTGGCGAGCTTCTAACCTCCTTTTTGTGCTGCTGCACGCCTAGGTTTTTGCCTAGACTGCACGAGCCTTGCTTGCTCGCTGGCTCGCAAGCAAATAACAAAACGTCTCGAAATTTTGCAACAGCGCTGGAATTTCAGGCGCGTCACCTGCGCCGCAGATTTTTGCCCCGCACGGCCCCAAAATCGCAAATCCCCCCGACTCTCCTCGATTCTGCTGCTTGCTTTTTATTCAAACCACCCACCGCCCCCGATTCTCCTCGATTCTCCCCGGCCCCGCTACCGCCGGGGACAGTTCTGGTCGGTCACCCGCGGCAGCGAATACATTTGTTGAGTTCTAAGTGCATGGGGGGGGGGGGGGCAGTGACTCGATGCGAGACGCAGAGACAGCTGCTGGAGCCGGCCCGGACATACGCAAGAGCATGTCCTTCTTGTTGGCCCAGGCCTGCCAAACCCCCAATCATTTACGTGATCATGCATAGATCCAGTATCTGAAAACGAGTATACCTTTTCCAGCTTGTCTGCGAAGGGACAAGCTTCCCATGTCTGCCACCACCAATCCGCTTGAACCTTAGGACAGCGGCAAGCAACACGAGAACAATTGAAGCGAGGATGGCACCTGCGCCAGCCCAGCTACCGCAGCCTGGCCGAAACCGCCAGCAATGCCCGAAAGGTATTCTTGGCCTGGCTGGCCATGAAAGTGAGCCACCGAGCAGCCGCCTCAGCTACGCCCTGCACCCGTGACCGGACGCCAGGCACGCGAGGCACCACTGAGCCACCGGAACCACTCTGAGCCCAGCCACCCACATGAACCCCTAATTACATCCTCCAAAAAGAAAATCTGCGCAGTTATCGCAAGTTTCAATGGCGCTCCCTGAAGATTTCCGGGGCCATGTAGGGCTTGGTGCCTTTGATGCCCGCCAGCCCGTGCGCGAGATCATCCGCCTTCGATTCTGGCCCAGGCCAAAGTCGATGAGTCGCAGCGCCGTGGCCTGTGTGTGGCGCCCACGTGCGGCGAATATCATGTTGTCGTCGGAACATCTCCGGGCAACCCATCATACCCATCTGCAGAAAATGCATGCGCCAGGCAAAAAGAAATCCAAAACCTCCGCTTCATCTTCTTTCAACAAATTAGAAACTAAGTTAGTATTTTGTGTACTATTATTTCCAGAGATTTGATCAAGATCTACAACATCCATTTTTCATGTCTGCTTGAAAAAATATTTGGAATCTCTTCGTTTATGACATGTGTTTCAACAATAATGAATCATCATCATCATCATCATCATCATCATCATCATCAATCCCAAAAACAAAAAATGGACAATTTACGAGCGCAATAAACAATAATAACTAGATGCGAATATTTTATCAATAGCAGTGAAACCTAAATGACAAAGCCCAGGACTTTATCACCGACCCCAGACTGACCGTGACCTGGAGGCCGGCCACTTCGCCTGCTCTGGCTCGCCAAAACCCTAAACCCGGATTGGCCCTGAACCCTAAACCCTAAACCCCTAAACCCCTAATCCCAAACCCTACTAAACCCTCTAAACCCTAAACCCTACTAAACCCCTAACCCCGAATCCCCTAAACCCCAAACCCTACTTAAAAACCCCAAACCCTTGAAACTTGAACCCTCGACCGCCCAAGAGCAGCCTCGAAGCTCGTCTCAGAAGCGGCCTGGCAGGATCCATGAACTTCTCGCGAAAGGGTTTAGGGTCGCGAGGGTTTAGGGTTTAGGGTTTAGGGTCTAGGGTTTAGGGTCTAGGGTTTAGGGTTTAGGGTGTAGGATTTATAGGGTATAGCGTAGAGGGCTGAAGGCTTGGGCTTTACAGCGGGCCAGCTGGAAGACAGAAACGAAAATGGAAACAAACTTCCTGAGCCGTGGTAAGCCCCAGACCTTGCAAGATCCAAGGGTTTAGGGTTCCTAATATCGTCCCCAAATAATGGGGACTCCCTCAAAACCCTGCAACCTTGACCCTCAAAGCCTTTGGGTTTTGGTGCTTTTAGGGTTTAGGGTTTAGGGTTTAGGGTTTTGGGTTTTGGGTTTAGGGTTGAGTTAGGGTTTGCGCGCGGGCGCCTTTCTCATTTTCCGTGACTGCCGTGAGCCCGTTGACCGCGCGGAGCTTGGGGCCTCTTGCCTTGGCCAGCTAATGGCACTTAGGGTTTAGGGTTTGGTTTAGGGTTTAGGGTTTAGGGTTTAGGGTTTAGGGTTTAGGGTTTAGGGTTTAGGGTTTAGGGTTTAGGGTTTAGGGTTTAGGGTTTAGGGTTTAGGGTTTAGGGTTTAGGGTTTAGGTTGATCACATGAGCTCGAAAACCAACCCTGACATAGGGGCCTGAATGATTCAGGCCCCTATGGGTTGTGGGAAACATCTAGGGACCAGAAGAGAAGGGAATACTACTTTTTGTGACCCCTATATTCGACACTTTTTGTAGGGTGTGTGACACTTAAGAACCTCATGGAGGATTTTCAGCCAAGCCGGCAAAGCCTAGAAGAACAAGGTAGCTTCTGCGGGTTTCTTCGGAAAAGTTTGGAAAGCTTCGGGTTAGCCCAACACCCTAAACCCTAAACCCGAAACAACTATACTTACAGCCAAAGTTAGGGTTCTTCTAACCCTCCACATAAGTACCCATGAACCTCCAAGTAAGCACTACAATGCCCTAGACATCCTCCACAGGCCGCTAGCAAAGCCCGAGAAAAGCAGAGGGAACCCCTAAACCCCAAACCCGAAACCCGAAACCTGCACCCTACACCCTAAACCGAAACCCTAAATCCTAAACCCTGAACCCTGCATGGCTCCCCAGCTCGCGAAAGCTATGGGCCAGCTCGGAGATCTCTTCCCAGTTGGTCTCCACCTCTTCTGCTGCTTCGTAGTCCCAGGAACATCCGGGACCATATTGCGGTTCGGGGGTTTGGGGGTTTAGGGTTTAGGCTTAGGGTATCATATTCAAGATTGTTGCTTCAGGTTTGGGGGCTTGGGGTGTAGGGTTTAGGGTCGAGGGTATCATATTGCAGTAAGGGCAATTTGTTTGGTGCTTCTTACATGTATGAAGGAAACCCCAAAAAGGACATAAGGGCACCACGTTCCCTTGTGAAGGCTATGGGCTTAAGGCTTAGGAGGGTTTAGAGCTCATGGTTGCCCGCAGGAACCTAGGAGAAAGAAGGACTTTGGTTTGTAGGCTGGGATGCTCACCCGTCTGCTAACAGTCCCTTTTTTGGGATTCTACTATGGGGCACTATAGTAATCCCTACTAAGGCCCTTATGCTAACAGTCCCTTTTTAGACTAGGGGGTACCAGAATCCCTACCAAGGACTGTCAGCATCAGGGGGAACATCCCAAGTTGTAGGGTCTTGTAAGTGATCTTTGTATACCGGTCGGGTATCCGAACCTTACATGGATTTCGCTAAGGGACGATGATCGTCGTCGCAGGATCCTTGCAAAGCCTCTAAGCCCTGCAATTCCTCTAAGCCCTGTAGACCCTGTGTGCCCTATATCAACCCCAAACACCCGAACAAACCCTACAACCCAGAAACCCTAAACCCTAAGATGCGCAAAAACTTTCTCTAGAATGGCTATCAAAACCCTTAGAAAAAAAACATTCCTGAACATGATCCTCTCAAACCCAGTAAGGGAAAATCTGAAAGGCCCCCAGGGCCGACCCAGTTGTTACAAAACCCCCGAAGCCTTGTCGGTAGACGCCTGCCGGCGCCGGCGCCGGCGCAGCAACGCCCACGCGCCGCAGGCGCAGCAAGAGAACAAGCAAGCCTTTGAGCACGGTCATCGGGTCCACAGAGGCTTTGGAGTTGGGATGTTCCCCCTTATACTAGCAGTCCTTTGCAGGGACAAAAGTACCCTCGATTCGAATCCCCATGAAGGACTGAATAGGCGCCAAAATCCCTCAGAAGCGCCCCCCCTCAAGATTCAGGACTTCGTGTTCCGCAGGGGGTCCATGCGGGTGGTTGTCAAAATTATGGTTCCCTTTTTGGATCGGCACCTAATGTTTAGGGTACCCCAAAAGGGATCATAATCTTGACCGCCGCCCATGTGCCTATACAGCCTATGCAGCATGATTTTGGGGGCCTTATAAGGAGGACTTCGGCTGGCGCAAAGTTAGCGCGCTTGGATGGACGCAGTGGGAGAGGGGCTTCTGTGCCATGTCGCAGCAACTCCGAAACCCTAAACCCTCAGACCCTTAACCCTAAACCCTAAACCCTAAACCCTAAACCCTAAGCACGATGAGGCCCTAGCCCTAAACCCCAAACACGGGCCTAGACACTAAGGCCCTCTAAGCCTTGAACCCCCCAACTCCCAAATTCTAAAACCCCAACCTCTTAGCCTTGAACCCCCCAACTCCCAAATTCTAAAACCCCAAACCCCAAGTCCTTAACCCCAACCTCTAAACCCTAAACCCTAAACCCTAACATTCAAACCCTACACATCTGCTGAGCTTCCCTGATCAGTATATATCTGGAATTTCGGATGACAGTCAAAGAAGCCTACACATCACCCTACTGATCCTTAGCTTCGAGCTCCCCCCGTGGCCGCGGTGACGACAATGAAGAGCTCGCTCTCGACCTCAGGGCTCTTTCGGCCCCAGGGATGTCAAGAGTGCCCCTTCACCCTAAGCCCTAAGCCCTAAGCCCTATACACCTTTAAACCCTAAGTCCTCAACCCTTAAGCTACACCTAAACCCTAAGCCCTCAACCCTAAACCCCAGTCCCAAGTCACTAAACCCTAAGTCCCAAACCCTAAAGGGGTGGGAGTAAGGATCTTTGCCTTGGTTCTGAACAAGGAAGTCGGGGATTTGGGCTCCCTATGTCCGTAAGAACCAGTGCGACACAGGATATACTTGGGCCGGTCCCAGATGTCGAATTTAGAGTCCAAGCATGTACTGTACAGGCGCGCGGGCCCGCTCTGGGTTGTCAAGCCGAAGGCCTCAACCCCAGCTCCACCCACAAACCCCGAACCCTAAACCCGAAACCCTAAACCCAAAACCCTAAACCCTGAACCCTGCAAACTTCGCTGGGTGCCATGGGTTTCGGGCTCAGGGTTTCGGGAAACCCCGAACCCTAAGCCCTAAACCCCAAACGCCAAACCCATGTCGGAGCAGCCCCCTTCCTCAACTCTAAATTCAGGGTTTCGGGTTTAGGGTTTAGGGTTCAGGGTTTAAAGCCACTGAAGCCCCCCAAAGCCCCCGGAAGCCCCTAGAAGCCCAAGGAAGCTGAAACCCTTCAACCCCATACTGGGATAAGGCCCCTGAAACCCTCTGGAAACATCTTCCTGAGTATGATCCTTCTGACCCCTAGAAAGGAAACTATGAAATACCCGAAGGGCCCACATCCCCAAACCCTAAACCCTAAACCCTATAAACCCTAAACCCTAAAATTTACCCTGTAACCCTAAACCCTAATCCCCTAAAGCACTTAAAAGGGGTCTTGGCGCCCCCCGCGAATCCGAGGACGGTGTCCAGAAAGCTGGGTTCTGGAGGGGCCTGGGTGAATCATAAGGGGTTTGGGGGGCTTTGGGGGTTTTAGGGTTTAGAACTTTCTGGGCTTGGGAAGCTATATAGCTCTGCTAGGGCCGCTAGGGCCGCTAGGGCCGCTAGGGTTCAGGGTTCAGGGTTGAGGGTTGAGGGTGGGGGTTTAGAGTTTAGGGTTTAGGGTTTAGGGTTGAGGGTTCAGGGTTTAGGGCTCTGGAAGCCCTCTGAATACCCCGAAAGCTCAGCCGAGGCGCAGCGGAGGTAGGCCGAGCTTCCGTGGTCGTTGTGTCAGGCGCCGCCGTCGGCCTGCAACTTCTTTTTTCTGTTTTTGCGGGGGGGGGGGGGGGGGGGGGGGGGGGGGGGGGGGGGGAGGGCGGTTAGGGTTTAGGGTTTAGGGTTTAGGGTTCAGGGTTTCGTGTTTCGGTTCGGGTTCTAGGGTTTAGGGTTTAGCGTTCAGGGTTTAGGGTTTAGATCTCAGGGTGCCCAAAACACTGATGATTTCTTGAGGTTTGCCCTAGGGTTTGGGGATTAGGGGTTGAGGGCTTAGGGGTCTACCCCCCATTTTTAAGGCTATGTCGGGATTCTTCATTGAGGTGATGTAAGGGGGGAATTTAGGGCGGGTAGTATAGAGGGGTAGCAGGGAAACCCATCAGTTTAGGGTTGGGGCGTTGGGGTGTAGAGATGGGCGGGAAATCCTGAAATCCTGAGATCCGGGCGGTAGGGTCGCACCTCCGCCTGCAGCGGATTCTGGGTTTTAGGGTTTAGGGTTTAGGGTTCGGGATTCGGGAGCTTCTCACTTAGGCTTTTGGGGTGGTTTGGGGTTCAGGGCTTTGGGTTTGGGATTTGGGGGCCTCCCCTCTTCGACAATGTCCCTACGCCCTGCCTAAACCCTACACCGCTACACCGCACCCTGACACACCCAAAGCCCTACAACCTTTGACCCTAGATCTTATAAACCCTCAACCCTAAACCTTTTTAAACCTTCTAAGCTCGAAACCCTAAACCCTAAACCCTGACCCTAACCCTCAACCCTATCCAGAAGATCGCTGCGCCAGGTCCACGGCCGAGCTCAAAGCGCCCTCAGAGTGAGGGATCCCGAGCACCCTTGTGGGCAACTCACTACCACCCCTCCCCTCCAAAATTTAGGACTTTAGGGTTTAAGGTTCTAGGGTTTAGTTTGGGGTTTAGGGTTTGGGGTTTAGGGCTTAGGGCTTAGGGCTCCTAAGCCCTACAAAACCCGGACATCCAGATGCTGCTGCCTGCGGAGCCCCAGAAGTCGTCGGCCGCATCGCCGCCCGAGGCGGCGATGGCGGCGTCGATGCCTCGAGCTTCGGTTTAGGGTTTAGGGTTTAGGGTTTTAGCGTTGAGGGCCTAGGGTTTAGGGTTTAGGGTTTAAGGTTTCGGGTTTAGAGTTTCGGGTTTTGGGTTTAGGGATTAGGGTTTAGGGTATTTAGGGTTTAGGGTATTTAGGGTTTAGGGTTTAGGGTTCAGGATCTAGGGCCTCTGCTCTAGGGCCTCTGCTCAAGGTAGTCGTCCCATTCTGGGGGAATCTGGTAATCGGCAAATGTCGTCGGAAGTGACCTGGCAGTCGTTTTGGAGCATTTCTTGATCAACCTCGGGGAGCCAGGTCGATCTGAAGAAGATACGATCGCACGCTGCATGCGACGACAAGATCTTTGACCATCTCCTCCCTGGCCGGCTGGTAGAAGTTAACAGCGACTGCTGCCTCTTGGGGTTCAGAAAGTTGGGAAGTGCAGGAAGTTGAGGGCACAGGAAGTGTAGGGTTTAGGGAGCTTCTCAGGGTTCAGGGCTTTGGGGTTTGGGGGTTCAGGGCTCTGCGACTCGGGGGTTCAGGGGCTTTGAAGGGTTTAGGGTTTAGGGTTTAGGGTTTAGGGTTCAGGGAGGTTAAGGGTGCAGGATTGGGGAGTTTCAGGAGGGTTTAGAGAGGTTCAGCCCTAGGGGCTTTGCGGGGGCGCGTGGTTAAAGCATCATACATTGGGATGTTCGCCCTTTATACTAACAGTCCTTGACCAGGGGTTACAAAAGGGGGGTAAATCCCTCTTAAGGACTGTTCGTAAAGGGGAGACATCCCGAACTCTACACTAGAGACAAGCCCGGCCCGCCTCCCATTCAAACACGGTACCCGCGCCACACCAAAACCCTCCCCCCCTTCTTCGCCTAAACCCGAAAGCCCTGGAGGCTGAGGGGGGCTGAGATTTGAGGGGCTTAGGGGTCTAAGGGAATCTGCAGGTTTAGGGTTGAGGGGTAGAAGGGTTAAGAGTTCAGGGTTTAGGGGTCGAGGGGTCTAGGGTTTGGGGTTTGGGAGGTTGAGGAGTTTAGGGGTTTAGGGATAAGGGGGTTTAGGGTTTAGGGTTTAGGGTTTAGTGTTTAGGGTTTAGGGTTTGGGCTTTAGGGTTTGGGGTTTAGGGTTTAGGGTTAAGGGTTTAGGGGTTGAGGCAGCCCGAACCCAGGTCGCCCCAGGCCGCCGGCAGGAGAAGCGGGCGGGAACCAGCCGCCCCAAGAGGCACCTGAAAACCCCTAAACCTTAAACCTTATAAACCCTAAACCCTAAACCCTAAACCCTAAACCGTAAACCCTAAACCCTAAACCGTAAACCCTAAACCCTAAACCCTAAACCCTAGCCCTAAACCCTAAACCCTGCACCCCTAAACCCCTAAACCCCTAAACCCTCAACCCCAACATGGTTTGGGATTTTGGGCGGGGCCCTTCTAGGCTTGGAGTCAACAGGTTTATGGGTTTAGGGAGTTTACGGGTTTAGGGTTTAGTTTAGGGTTTAGGGCTTGGGGGGATTGAGGGCTGGGTTTAGGGGGTTTAGGGGTTCAGGGCGTTTAGGGGTTCGCTTAGGGAATTGGGGTATGTCAGGGGGAAGTGGGGGAAGTCGTCATCCTCTCTCTCCGTAAGCTATTGAGGGAAAAGAGCGCAATGGTGTTCGGGAGTCGGGTTTAAGGTTCAGGGCATAATAATAAGCAATAACCTCCCCTAAAGAGTTTGCTTCTTGGGCCTTCCGGAGGTTCGTGTACATGGCACAAGTAGGTGTTTAGGGCTCAAGAAGTATAGACGAGAATTATAGAGACATGGACTCAGAACCAGTCCATTCACCTGGCTATCATTCAAAAAATCCTTGATATAGGATTCTTGGGCCGCCCCACATAACAGTACGAAACCCCGGGTTTTGAATGCAACAGCCCCAGAAGTGCCCCGTGAAGCGCCCCAAACCACCCTAAACCCTAAACCCGAAAACCTAAAACCTAAACCCTAGACCCCCTAAACCCTAAACCGTAGCCAAGGCGCGAAAGGTTGGCCGTGGCCCGAAAGCCATCCGCGCAGGCACCAGTGCATCTCCTGCTGTTGAGGGGTTGCTTCGGGTTTAGGGTTTAGGGTTTAGGGTTCAGGGTTCAGGGTTTAGGGTTTAGGGTTTAGGGTTTAGGGTTATAGAACTATAGGGGTGTTAGGGTGTTAGGGTGTGGTGTTAGGGTTTAGGGGAAAGTGTGCTGTTGAGGGGTTACTTCGGGGTTTGGGTTTTAGGGTGCCAGGGTGTGGTGTTAGGGTAGTTGGGGCTTATAGGGCTTAGGGTGCTGGGGTGTAGGGTTTAGGGTTTAGGCAAAACAACTATCCATGAGCCTCCAGGTACAGCATCGCGGATAAGCCCGTAGAGCTGCTTGCACTTGGGAGCTCAGGCTTATAGGGGCCACCAGGTGATTTCACCTACAGGATAAAGCAAAAACACACCCGCTAGTGCTGTTTTTGGGTTTCGGGTTTAGCATCAAGGGTGCATGAATGTACGCAACTGAGTGTAAGCGTCAACGGATATTCGTGAATCCTCATACCGTTGGTGTGTATGTTCGATGTGTAGCGATCATAGAGCAGCTCAACTTCAAACGCAAGACGGTCACAACGCAAGCACAACTCAAAACTCAAAACCCCAAACCAGACAAGCCAAAAGCCTAAACTGCTTGAAGCTCTATAAACCCTACAAGCCCGAAGTTTGCACAACCCAGACAGCCCCAAGAGCCTTCCGCCAGGGATCAGGCCATCCGTGTAGTTCTCCTAGGGTCAGGTATGGGGTTGAGGGTTGCAGGTTTAGGCTCGTAACGTTCAAGGGCCCAGGGAGGAAGAGCCTGCGATTCACGTACCACATACCTCCCCCCCCCCCCCCCCCCTCAACAGGAGCCAACAGATCGTCACATTGACAAGTTTCGTGTCCCCAAGCCGACAACACCCGAAACCCTCAACCCTAAATCCTAAATCCTGTAACCCTAAGAACCTAAACCCCGTAAACCCCGTAAACCCCGTAAACCCTGTAAACTCTGCGAACCCTGTAAATCATAAGCCTTAAACCCCCTAAGCCTTAAGCCCTAAACCCTCAAAAAGTCGTCGCACACCCTAAGCTCCTTAGGGTCGTTGCAGGGTCCCTTTAGGATGGGTCCTTAAATCAGGACTCCTGATAACATAGCCCTTATCTACCCTATAAATAACTGCAGAACCCTTTAAGGGAGGTAAGGGGCCACGTTACAGGCCCACGTAACTACAGACCTAGGAACCCAGGGCTGCCAACCCTCATAGGGTTTAGGGTTTAGGGTTTAGGGTTTGGGGTTTAGGGTTTAGGGTTTAGGGTTTAGGGTTTAGGGCAACCCTGACCCACCTTGCAGCTGCCATTGGCCGAGGCTTGCGGGATGTCGGTGGGCACCGGGCACTCCTCTGGGCGGAGGGTTCGTAGTATACTTTAGGGTTTAGGGTTTAGGGTTTAGGGTTTAGGGTTTAGGGTTTAGGGTTTAGGGTTTAGGGTTTAGGGTGTAGGGCAGGGTTTAGGGTTTAGGGTTTGGGTTTGGGCTTTGGGGTCTGGAGTTTAACAAGGGACTTGTTGCCTGACCCAGTAGTTGGAGTTTAGGGTTGGCCGACAGAAAGGTTTTGGGCAGGCAAAACCGCTCTTGCACGCATCTGGCCACCGATACATCTGAGGGTGGCGCCAAAATTGTAAGGGGCATTGGCTTGTTGTTCGGGTTGAACGAGGTTTTATCAAAACACGCGCCGCCCTGAAACCAGGTTCCTGTGCTCATGTAGTCAAGGATCACAGCGTCAGCAATGCAAACACGAGCAAATGGGCTGTGTTCCACATGCTGTGGAACCACTGACAGCCCTTGAGCCAAGTTGACAACTTGGTTAGGCCCCGTTGTGCCACCCGAAATGACTCCGGACGCCATTGCGATGAACCTGCCGTCTGGCGGCACACCAGCTTGATAGAGGGCCCGAAGGTTTGGGTCTTCACCCGAAACCGTTTCATTGGCGCCAGGCTCCATAATCTTGAAGGCTAACTCCCAGGAGCCGTGTAGACTAGCGAACCGGGAAACAACTTTGGCAAACCCTAAACCCTAAACCCTAAACCCTAAACCCAAAACCCAAAACCCCAAACCCTACCCCTTTGAACGAGAGGTTGGGGGTCCGGAGACGTCATGAATTTCCTAGGGATGGAGGCGTCCGGCTCGACTCAGATCCCCAGCGCCCCGCAGACTAGACCCAAAACCCTGATGTCCTCGTCATCTCAGAACCTGAACCCTAAGCCCTATACCCTAAAACCCCAAAACCTTAAACGCCTAACCCCTAAACCCTAAACCCCACACCCTGAAACATCATAACCAGCCTGAAACAGCCCTTAGTCCCGAATCAAGCCTAAACCCTCAAACCAACCCTAAACCCACACTCTGACCCCTCATCAACCCTAAACCCTCAATGCCCTGAAGGCTAAACCGAACCCTAAACCCGGAACCCTGAACCCTAAACCCTAAACCCTAAACCCTGAACCTGAAACCATAAACCCTAAGCCCTGCACCCCAAACTCTGCACCCGAACCCTGAACCCTAAACCCCGAACCTTACAGCCCTAAACCCTGAACCCTAAACCCCAAACCCTGCACCACAGACCCTGAACCCTGAACCCTAAACCCTCAACCCTGAACCCTAAACCCTGCACCCTAAACCCTAACCCCTACTGAGGCCGGCTCTGGCTTTACGCAGCGGAAGCTGGGCGGCCGGAGGGTCCCGCCCACGCAGGCGAGGACCTTCCACAGTTTCACTGGGCTTTAGGCGTTAGGGTTTAGGGTTTAGGGGTTAGGGTGTGGGGTTTAGGGTTTAGGGTTTGGGGTTTAGGGTTTGGGGTTTGGGGTTTAGGGTTTGGGGTTTTCGCTTAAGGTCTAGGGTCTGAGGACAAACCTCAATCCGAACAGCTGGGAAACCCCAATCAATCGTAACCCTGAAAAATCCAGCATATGTGTAGGGTTTGGGGTTTAGGGTTTGAGGTTTCTGGTTAGGGCTTGGGGTTTAGGGTTGGGGGTTTAGAGTTTAGGGCTTTAGATTTTAGGGTTTAGGGCTTCAGGGTGGAGTTTGGGTCTAGGGTTAAGTTCTTTAGGGTTTAAGTTTGGGTTTAGTGTTTTAGGTTTCAAGGTTTAGGATTTAAAGGGTTTGAAGGTTAGCGGTTGATTGGGGTTGTAGGGCTGTAGGGACTGAGGTTTGCCCCCTCAGACCCTGATTGTTTTCGGGGTCTTAGAAGGCTTAAACCCTAAACCCTAAACCCTAAACCCTGAAACCTTCACAAAAATCCTAAGGCTTGGGGAACCCCAAGTCCTAAACCCCCAAAAACGCACACCTCTGCGCCCCGAAACGAACATCTTTCAGCTGGGGCCCCGTGCAGCTTCCGTAGGGACATGACCACTTCGGCACCTGCACTTATAGGCAGGGTTTAGGGTTTCGGGTTTAGGGTTCAAGGTTTAGGGTTCAGGGTTTAGGGTTTAGGGGTTTAGGGTTTAGGGTTTAGGGATTAGGGTTTTAGAGGTTTTGGGGTTTAGGGGTTAGGGTTTAGGGGGTTTACTACCGTGGACCCCTAAGGTTGTACCCTTGGGTTTGGGGAACCCTTCTTAAGGACTCCTTTAGGTAGTATAATGGCCATATTCGGATTATATTGAGGGGAACCTTTAGGGGTACAACCTTAAGGGTACGAGTCCGAAGCCCTTGATTACCCTGAACCGAAACCCCTAAACCCTAGACCCTAAACCCTGAACCCTGAACCCTAAACCCTAAACCCTAAACCCTAAACCCTAACCCCTTAGCCTTCAACCCGGCATAAGGCTCCTCGGAGCACAGGCAGACCCCGGCGGCAGCGTCTGCCAGGCAGAAGGTGTAGAGGAATGGGGCTGCTAGGGTTTAGGGTTTAGGGTTTATATGGTTTAGGGTTTAGGGTTTAGGGTTTAGGGATTAGGGATTAGGGTTTAGGGTTTAGGGTATAATGGTTAAGGCGGCTGAGGGTTTGGGGGTGTAGAGTTTGGGGTCATGCGCTGTCTAAGCACATTTCGAAGCCAAAGAGTGGTCAAAACTACACAGGGGTCTAAGGGTTGCCCATTCCCATAGAGACAATCAAACTCAATCCTGCCTAAACCCCAAGCCCAGAATCTTAAACGTGTTTCTAAGGGTTTTGTGTCGGAGGTTTGGGTTACCATAGGTGGGATATCCCTATAACATAGTCATGCTTATGTCCTTTTTGGGTCCCTAAAATGAGGTTCAGCGAGTTCCGATCTCGAGGCTGAGACAGCCAGGAAGGCCCCAAGCCACCGACCTCCACGAAGCCTTCGCAGGCGGGATCGTCGGCATCTTCGATGCCTGCACGACACGCTATTCCCCCCTCCCCCCACCCTGAACGCCACGCCCTAAACCCCAAACCCTAAACCCTACAGGCCGTTTATGGAATTTAGGGTTTTGAACCATAAGCCCCATGAGCCCCTAAGGCCCCAAACCCAGCCCTGAACTCTGCAACACCTTGCCCAAACCCTAGACTTCCTCCCTACGCAATTCTAACTCTAAACCCTGAACCCTATACCTTAACTTTAAACCCTAAACCCTAAACCCTGAAACCCTAAATGGTTTAGGTGGTCCCCCCCCCCCCACCCCCACCCACAATTCCGAATGCATGGGTCCCTTCTTTAGGTGGTTCTACCCTCGGTGTAGCGTGGGGGGGGAGGGGGGCAAGCCTGAGCAATTTAAACCACAAAGCCTCGGGTTTAGGGTTTAGGGTTTAGGGTTTAGGGTTGGGGTTTAGGGTCTAGGGTCTAGGGTCTAGGGTTTAGGGTTTAGGGTTTAGGGTCTAGGGTTTAGGGTTTAGGGTTTAGGGAAACCCAAATGGCTTGCGACTTGGACCTCAGGAGCTGAGAGCCAAGCCCACAGGCACAGCGCAAGTAGCTTCCTCCTGCACCTGGCAAAAGGGCCCTAGACCCTAAACCCTAAACCCTAAAACCCAAACCCTAGAATGGCCCAGCAAACTCGACCCCAAAGCCCGGCCCTAAGCCCTGTGAAACACACCCACTAGTTGGGATGCTCCCCCCTTATACGAGCAGGCCTTAATAGGGAATATAGTACCCCTTTTCTAATCACAACTATGGACTGTTCGTACAAGGGGGAACATCCCAACCCACTAGCAAGCTTGCATCCTACCTGCCTTTTGCGGCCCTCTCCCATGGTCTGTGCGATGTCCATGCAGGGTGGATCGCTGACATACGCACACCCACACACACAAGGGTTTAGGGTTTACTTAGGGTTTAGCCCAAACTAAGAACTAGCTTCCTAAACCCCAAACCCCAAAAACCTCGACCACCATTACGATTCTAGACGCCTTCTCCTTCTCCGGAATTATGGCGAAGCTTCTTGCCATCGTCTCTCTCACCTCCCCAACTATTCCCAACAAACTCCTGCACAAAACTCCATCAAAAAAGGCTCCAAACCCTGCACGCTAAACCCTAAACCCTAAACCCTAAACCCTAAACCCTAAACCCTAAACCCTAAAACCCGGTAAGCCCTGCATGGCCCCTCTCGCCCTCCTGGCCGTGGAGAATCCCCAAGCCCAGGGGCAGACCCAGCGCTTTCGGGGTTTGAGGTTTGAGCTTCAGGATGTAGATAGACCCTAAACCCTAAACCCTAAACCCTAAACCCTAAACCCTAAGCCCTAAACCCTAAACCCTAAACCGAAACCCTAAACCCTATAGCAGCTTAGCAAGGGAGGACCCCAGACCCAGCCGATATGATTCCCCTACACAACCCAAACCCTAAGCCTAAACCCCTGAACCCGAAACCCCTAAACCCCAAACACCCAAACCCTAAGCCCCAAAACAACCTGAACTCCGAACCCCAAACCCGAAACCCGAAACCCTGAACCCTAAACCCCAAACCCCCAAAACCCCCAAATCCACAAAACCCCCAAATCCTTAAATTCAAACCTTAGACCCCCAACCCCCCTTCCCCCCCCCCCCCACCAAAAAAAAAAATCGACCCTCAAAAAAAAACACGCCCGCGCCTCGGGGGCAAGGCAAGAAAACCCCGCAGGGCTCCAGAAGCCGGCGAAACATGCGAGCTGGACCTAGGGTTTAGGGTTTAGGATTTAGGGTTTAGGGTTTAGGATTTAGGGTTTAGGATTTAGGGTTTAGCGCTCGGGTCAGGGTTTCTAGGGTTTAGGGTTGAGGATTTAGGGTTTAGGGTTTAGGGCCAGCTGGACCTGCCGGGCATGCTAGGGGGGCAATCTGGGGGGGGGGGGGGGGGGGGCCCTATGCAAAAGCAAAACCGCACAAAACCCTAAAAATGTCAAACCCTAAAAGCCCTAAAACCCCGAAAAACCCGAAAAGCCCAAAAAACAAAAAACTCAAAACCCTAAACGCCTAAAAGCTCTAAACCCAAAAGCCCTCAAGAAAAGCCCCGAAAACCCTAAAAGCCCTAAAAACCCTCAAAGCCCCAAAAGCCCTAAAGTCAGTGAAACCAAACTCCCTCTGAGACCCTCGACCGGCGTGGGGCGCTTCGGCGCAAGGCAGCGGGTGGTGCAGGTGCCAAGGGAGGGCGTGCGAAGGAGCTCCTCCTGTTTAGGGTTTAGGGTTTAGGGTTTAGGGTTTAGGGTTTAGGGCTGTTTCTTGGGGGGGGGGGGGGGGGGGGGGGGGGGGGAGGATGGGGCAGGTATGTTTAGGAGGACATCCCAAAACACCCTAAACCCTATTGCAATGATGAGCTTATGCTTGAATCATAACATGTACATGAACCCAGTACTGCATTATGCAACAATTACAAGTGAATATTTACATCATAAAATGGTACTGCGTTTGCTGTTCGCATTGAATTATCATTTTATAGCGTCACATCTTCAAATGCCCCTAGTATAAGAAAGATTACATTGTGAACCTCAGACACGCAACAACCATGAATGCATGTACATATCCCATGAAAAGCAATTACAATGCACAATCATACTATAATAGTGATTATTTAGCTGCATAAAGTATACTATGGTTAAACATATTTCATCATATACGTATAAAAACTTTGTGGTATCATAAGTGGTATCATAAGTTAACGAATATTGTCTTTGCATACATCTAGCAACACTTTGCAAAAAAGGGACCCACAATTTCGACGTAGCCGCCGACCGAGGCGATGACGCTGCTTGCCACGGCGGGTATCAGGTCGTCGTGACCCTGAGAGTCAGAGTAGTTCTCGATTTCAATCACACCGTACACTTCGTGAGCCCCAAAACAGTCGACTGCCAGTGAGGACCCGCAAAGTGGAAGACTTGCGTGCCGAATATTCATAGATCGGCTCGCGCACGCACCTGTAGACTCTAGACTGGCCCTGAGATGGCCAGTCTACAAAAAGTCATAAGTATCCTCGAGCCCCACCCTAATGTACCTTTGGTAGTATATACTTGGGCCTTCAAGTAGAGGGGTTCCTATATAGTGCTCCTTAGGGCCACACGGGACCTTAGGGTTTGAGGTTTTAGGCCAACACCTTAAACACTTAACCCCTAAAGCCTCAAAACCCCTGAGACTAAATCCCTTCATCCTCTACCGAGACAGACACGCACAGGGTGTCCTCGCAAGCCACGAGTGGCGCGTCGATCCTGAGTAGACTTGCGGTTTGGGGTGGATTTGGGGTTGCCCCTACCTGGAGATTCAGGGCACTCAGTAACCCAACCAATTATAACCCTGTTAGGGTACTTCAGGGGCTTATAAGTGGGTTATAACTACACTTATGATTGGGCTGCTAAGTACCCTAAACCTCCAAGTAGGGCCTACATAGCCCGGCGTCTGAAGGCCCCTTACATGACCCTCATACAAGGCTTTGTAGTGAGTCTTGACTTGGAAAACTGACCCACTAAAGCCCCTTCCATGCCATAACCCTATAAACCCGAAAGTCCTGAACCCTGAGCCCAAACCCTCCCAGAACAAAAATGCCACCCTCAATCCTAAACACAAAAAACCGTAAAAACCTTAAATGAAACCTACACAAGCCCTAAAATCCCAAAAAAACCCTAGACCAAATCCCTAAAATCGAAAAACAAAAAAAAGGCGCAGTTTCAGGCGAGTCCAAGTGGCGGAGGGCTCGGTAAGGAGCATGGCCGGTCTCGGTTGAGCGCCACCTCGCCCATGGCCTGGCCCATTGTGAGGAGGGTTGGGGTTTCTAGGGATCTAGGAAATTTTAATGCAATTAATGGGGATTTAGGCAATTTTGAGTAATTTGTTGAGTAATTGATAGGGATTTAGGTAATTCAGAGTAATTTAGCCAGGTTTGTAGGGTTGTTTAGGCCAGGCTTTGGGTTGCTAGCATTTAAAGATCGATGCTTCAGAGTTTCAGGCAGGGCATCAGGCGCCAAGAGCAAAGAACTACGCAGCGGCATGCGAAGCTCGGAAGGGTTGGGCCTTCGCGACCCCCCTCTTAGGGATTTCGCAGATTTGGGTGTTCGGGCTAAAGCTGCTTGGAGTGGGGCTGTTAAGGTTTCTTAGGGCTTTTTTAAGGGCTTTAAGGGCTTTAAGGATCTTGTTGAAGGCTTTGGTGCGGCAGGGCTCATGTAAGCTTTGCAACCTTTCTCTAGTTCATGCTTGCTCCTGGCACCCCCCATATGGACTCTACGCTAATGTCAGGAGCTCAAACCTGAACTCCAAACCTAGAGCCCTCAGGCTTCAGGGCATGTAGGGTTTAAGGGTCGTAACATCCAAAGCGCATCAACACCCCAGCAGCCAGCTAGGCCCTGCAAGCCCCTAACCCGCACCCCTCAACCTAAACCCCCAAACCCGACCAAACCCTGAACCCTAGACCCTAATAAACCCAATAAACCCTAAACTCTAATAAACCCTAAACCCTAATAAGCCCTAAACCCTAGACCCTAGACCCTCAACCCTCAACCCTCCCCCCCTCCGGCAACAAAAACAAAAGGCGCCGCCGGGAGCCTCAATGAAGTGCACGGCCACCAGTGAAGAGGTCCACGCCTGAGCTCACTGGATTGTTGGATCCCCCCAAGACTGCCGCAGAGTCTCGGGGGTTGCCTAGGGTTTAGGGTTTAGAATTTAGGGTTTAGGGTTTAGGTTTTGTTTTTTTAAACTGGAATCACCTTTTTAGGGCGGAACGACAGCGTTCTCCGGTCGTGAGCATCTGGGTTTAGGGTTTAGGGCTAGGGTTTCGTTAGCAACTCCTAAACCCTAAACCCTAAACCCTAAACCCTAAACCCTAAACCCTAAACCCTAAACCCTAAACCCTAAACCCTAAACCCTAACCTTTCTGAAGGGCTGCGGTCGAATGCCAAACCGACCACAGGGACCAAGCGGACCCCTAAAATTGGGGTATTGTACCCTATACTACTATAATTCCTATTGGGTATACGAGCCATAAACCTCTTAGGGTATCGACGTCTAGGTAAAGCCGCTACACCCTGAACCCTATGGCCCATGGGTTCAGGGCACTATGCGCCTGAAAGCGTAGACCTTACTTGGAGGTTCATGGTACTTACTAGCCAATTAGAACTGTACTTATAACTGTACATAACCATCGTTGGGCACTTACAGGGCTTATAAGCGGGTTATAAGTACAGTTATAATTGGTTAATAGGTACCATGAACCTCCAAGTAGACCCTCAACCCTTCAGGGCCTCAAGGCGCTAACCTTAATCTGTGACTTGCACTACTGGTTGCAACAACCCCAAGCTTACACCAAACCACAAGCCAAATCGACAGCCTAAATCCTAAATCCTAAACCCTAAACCCTAAACCCTAAACCCTTAAACTAAGCCCCAAACAGAGCACCCTACAGTACATGTTACACGTGCGGCGGCCACGACCCGCCTCGCGCGCGTCTTCGGTGCCCAAGTTCAGGGCCTCACGTGGGTGTAGGGTTTAGGCTTTAGGAGGGTTTAGGGCTGGTTTAGGGTTTAGGATTTAGGGTTTAGGGTTTATTTGAAAGCTGCGGGACTAGGGGGTATATGGAGTTGACAGGGTTTACTGGGTTGATGCTGTTGATTCTCTGGGGCCTTGGTGGATCAGGGTTTAGGGTACAGGGATTGGGCTGAAGGGTTGGGATGTGTGCGGGATGGGGGTTTTCGGGGTCGCAGGGTTTTAGTTTTTACATATCAGCTGAATAATAACAGGCATCTCCTACCCACATACCCCCTCAAAGGCTCAATCGACGACCCTGCACGGCAGGCACAGAAAGAAAGACATGAGTACCAGATCCATGGCAACAGCCCTCTGCCCCCAAAATCCCAAAGCCCTCAACCCACAGCATTTGAACATCTTGCTGGCCGTGACCCCTTCCTTAACAGAAGGAGCTGCCCGAAAACAGCCATAACTAACGGCTGTACGCTAAGTCACGGGGTCCATGTTGTAGGGGCTCGGATGACCATCTCGCGTTCCTCCCCAAACCCCAAACCCCAAACCCCAAACCCTGAAATCTAAACCCTAAACCCTAACCCCTAAACCCTAAACCCTAACCCCTAACCCCTAACCCCTAAACCCTAAACCCTAAACCCTGACCCTAAACCCTGAACCCTAAACCGGCTCCAGAGCTGGGTGTTGTTGTTACATCAAGTGATGTTGCGGGTTGCTCCCAGAGTCTCATAGTGCTTTTTTGCGTGCCCCCAAAAATGCACCCCAGAAACCTTCAAGACCTTGTAGATTCGGGTTTAGGGTTTAGGGTTTAGGGTTTAGGGTTTAGGGTGTAGGGTTTAGGGGGCAGGGTTCAACCACTCACGTGAGCCCCCCGCCTCCGCTCGACTCTGCACCCACTGTGGGGGGTTGGGCACAGAGAAGGCCACCAGAAAGCGATGCCTCAGTGGCAGGCGGTTGGTGGTGTAGGGTTTAGGGTTTAGGGTTTAGGGTTTAGGGTTTAGGGTTTAGGGCTTAGGGCTTAGGGCTTAGGGCTTAGGGCTTAGGGCTTAGGGCTTCGGGCTTAGGGCTTAGGGCTTAGGGTGTAAGTCTAGGGTCTAGGGTCTAGGGACTAGTGTTTAGGGTTTAGGGTTTAGGGCTTAGGGGTGCAGTCCTTGGCTGCATGGACCTTAGGGGCATGTTCGAGCTCGGGGCTATGAAAGCTGTCAAGCAATGGATGCCCAGCGAGCAGCTAACGACATCAGCCGCGATTATCTAAGGCATCCGAAGTATGCGCCCTTATTATGTATAGCGCATACAAGGCCTCTAGAACGGGGGAGCGTTTTAAGGGCCCATACTTCGGACCCCCTACTCACAAGAGAGACTATACAGCTTAGGGAGCTTCCACACACCGTTCTACATTGAGCCGCACGCGGACTTGCCATCCACCATGTTGGAACTTCGATCCACCACGAGAATGCTACTAGTATGGCATTGCAGCTGGCGCTGGCACCCCCCCCTAAGTGAAGTCATGTAAGGCTTAAACCCTAAACCCTAAACTATAAACCCTAAACCCACTTCATCTGCGGATTTGCGAGCAGTGCGATGTGGCCACCCAGGCAGTGATCCAAGGGTCTCCCGCCAGTGGAGCCGGGCGAGTCCGCCATGTACAGCGGGAGCTTCAGCTTTCTTTGGTAGGTTTTAGGAGGTAGAGGTTTCAGTTTTATTAGGAGGTCTTCGAAGGCTTCAAAGGTTTAAGAGGGCTGGGTGTGTTAAGGTGTAAGGTTAGGCCCCTAAACAGAAACATTGTTGCTTCATTTTGGTACTCACAAGGTATGTTCTCATCGTAGCTGCTGATGGCAAAACGTGTGCTTTGATTTGATGGCTTATGCAGATGGTTTAGCGCTAAACCCTGAAGTTTTGCGAGCTCTAGCAGAGGCCCCCTTGAGAATCCCTGCCGTAATACGCAGGCCCCGTCCTTGCTTCTCATACCTGAGTCCGACCCAGAATTAACACTCGGCGTCAAAGCAATGTTGGGGGGGCCCTGGGCCCTAAACCCTAAACCCTAAGCCCTAATGAACCCTACACACGGGCTTCATATGCCCCTGCCCATCTGGGGTTCAGGGTTTCGGCCCGGAGAAAGCCTCTAAACACAACTATGGAGTGAAAATGCTAACCTAAACCTAAACCCTAAACCCCAAACAACCCCAAACCCTAAACCCTAAAACCCTAAACGTCCTGACCCTTAAACCCTAAACCCCCTGAACCCTACATGCACAAACCTTGAAGGCCCGTTCTTTGAAGTCAATCAGCTTAGGGTTTAGGGTTTAGGGTTTAGGGTTTAAGGTTTAGGGTTTAGGGTTTAGGCTTTAGGCTTTAGGGTTGGGGTTTAGGGTTCTGGGCATCCCCGCGAGGGGGACACGGCGAGGCGTCGAGCTCCTTCGGAGGGTTTAGGGTTTAGGGTTTGGGGGGCCTAGGGTTTGGGGTTTGGGGTTTAGGGTTCAGGGTTTGGGTTTTGGGGCTTGGTGTTTGGGCTTTGGGCTTTGGGGCTTATGGTTTGGGGTTTCGGGTTTGGGGGCTTGGGGTTTTGGGGTGTCTGGTTTGGGTTTGTGGCCTTAGGGTTTTGCAGTGTCGAGTTTGGTGCTTTGGGGCTTAGGGTGTTGGGGTTTCAGATTTGGGGTCTATGGGCCAGTACTGCCAAAAGGGACCCGACCTCAGCGTACAACTGGCCAGAAGACTTGCAGGTCAAGCGAACATGGATGGTGTTGGCCAAACATAAGAACTATTGACTCCAAATCCTGTTCATAAACCCCAGACCCTATAAAACCCAACCTTATACCCTTTTAAACCCTTTTAAACCCTATAAACCCTATACACCCTATAAACCCTATAAATCCTGTAAACCCTGTAAACCCTATAAACCCTAAGCCTTATACCCTTGAAACCCGAGACCCTACACCGGCGGGGAGGGAAGGCCATTCTCCCTTGATTCCCTAGTCAAGTCAGGTTTCTCCATAGGGTTTAGGGTTTAGGGTTTAGCGCATAAGGAGGGACCCCCTAGAAGGGACCCTTCATCTTATTTCCCTATATAACAACTTTATGTACCTTGTAGCGTCCCTCTATACCTAAGTAGCCCCTAAATAACCCCCACATAACCCCTAAGGTCCCTTATGAGGGTCCCTCCTTTGTCCCTTGAAATAACCTTACATTCCCCCATAACTTAGCCCCATGAAGCAACAAGGGTTTAGGGTTTGGGGTCTGCGCAGGGCTTAGAGTATGCACCCTTGCGGTTCCTAGCTTGCTTGAAAACCGAGAGGCCCGAGGGTGCGATAGCCCAAGGGGAGGAGCTTAATTGAAGGGCTTACGAATTCCTTAAACTGCATAGGGATCGTTTGATATGACTTAAGGCATATTCCTTAACTAAGGGATATGGGGCTCTTTGGGTGGGTGGCAGCCTTGGTATCCCTAAGCCTATAAGCCCTAACCCCTACACCCTTAAACGTTCAACCCCTCCCCCATGGCGCCTACCATGGGCAGGGATGGAAAGACCGCCAGGAGCTCCACATCATCAAGGAGCAGGGACAGGGTCTGCCGTGAGACTTACGCGTTTTGGGTGGAGGCTTGAGCCCTCAGCACCTCCCCCAACATCCCAGGCAGACCCTAGCGCAGGCCCTTAGCCCCCTGACTTTTTACTTCCTTTTTGAGTTGGGGGGGGGAGGGGGGGGCGGGGGAGCGGCGGGGGCGTGGTACAAAAAAGCCTCGTCAGAGCCCTAAACCCTAAACCCTAAACCCTAAACCCTAAACCCTAAACCCTAAACCCTAAACCCTAAACCCTAAACCCCAGCTCCCCCATACTGGGCCTCTGCCAAGGCTATGCGCAGTGGGCGACGCAGTGCCTGCAAAGGATTAAGAATTAAGGGTTTAGGGCTAAGGGTTCAGGATATATATATATATATATATATGTATATGTATGTATGTATGTGTATATATATATATCTGTATATGTATATATATATATATTTCCACATGTGTGTATAATATATATATATATATATATATATATATATATACATGTATATATATATGTATATACAAATATATCCAGGGGTGACCACATATATATATATATATATATATATATATATTTGCATATACATACATATATATATATATGTATGTATGTATCATACAACAGAATTGACAAAGACTTCGTAAGGTGTTGGGGTGGCAGGATGGCCTTGGGTTCAGGGCGTCACCCCAAGGCCGTCATTGAAGGCCCTGCTGGATAAACTTAAACTTAAACCCTGTAGCATAAACCCTCAACCCTAAACCCAAGGTGTGTGGGGATTCGGGGATTCCTACATCCCAAAGTTCAGGGTTCAGGGTTCAGTAGGTAGGCACCCGAACAGAACCACATTGATCCTAACGATGCTCACAAAGAAAAACTCATCCCATCTTCTTCAGCCTCAAATCTAGGGACCTGAATAATTAACATAATGTTCTTTTTTTTTGGGGGGGGGCATATTAAACTCTGGGGACTGGGGAGTGTGACCTCTGCAGTCCCCATCCTCTTCAGCCTGTGCCCCTTTACCCGCTCAAGGTTCCCCTTTGTAAGCTCCTAATATGGCCTTTTGGCTACCTTAAGGATCTCTAGAAGGGGTCCCCCAAAACCCAAGGGTACGACCTTAGGGTCCAAGGTAGAAACGCAGACATAGCCCTAAACCCTAAACCCTAAACCCTAAACCCTAAACCTTAAGCCCTAAAATGCAAACCCCAAATCTTGAGGCTCTGAACGGCTTGGCGCCTCTGAGTTCGCCAGCAGGGACACCTGGCAGGTTCTTAGGGTTGAGGATTGCGGGGTTTGGGAGTTTAGGGGCTTAGGGTTTGGGGTTTTGGGGGATTTGGGGTTTAGGGTTTGGGGTGTGGGGTTTCGGGCTTGGGGCACACACGGTTCCAGCTTCACTGTTCGGCTCTGTGTGGTGGTCCGGGGCCAGGCTCCTTTATGTGTGCTGGTTTGTGTGTTCTTTCCTGTCATTCTATTATCATTTTATTTTGTTTTATGTATCTTATTTTGTTATATATATATATATTTTATTTTATTTTATTTTTTTTTTGGGGGGGGGGGCAGGGGGCTTAGAGGTCTCAGGATTGGAAAACTTGCGGCTTGTGAACCTGCCGGTCTTCGGGATTCGGCGTAGGGTCCAAGAATTGGGCAAACATGGACAAAGCCCGCCTGCATGCACTCCCTGGTATCTTGCTCCTCTTGTTGCTTTGTTTTCCCTCTCTCTCTCTCTCTCGCTCTCTCTCTCTCTCTCTCTCTCTCTCTCTCTCTTTCTCTCTCATATTTCTGTCTCTTTCTTTCTCTTTCTGTATCACTCTCTCCCTCTCACACTGAGTACCGCACGTGCTGCTGTTGAAGCTTGATTTCAGCAAGTCACAAACAAGCCTTTGGGTTCTGCTGGTTTCGAAAAAGATTTCGCACAACACAGCCCATACACCTACATCCATCAGCCTTGGAGTCTCAAAGTGACGTACGTCACATGCAACTTGTTGCTGAAATGGATGACACCCAGAAAACCCCTAAGCCCCAAACCCTAAAGCCCTAACCCTTCCCCCCAAACCTATCCTCGCGCTCTTCAACCGCCGCACAGCCTAAACCAAACTCTCACGAAGGGTTCTTGCTGGTGTGGAATGGTGGTTGCATCATCATAGTCAGAACCACCATCATGATCATCATCATGACCATCATCATCATCATCATCATCATCATCATCATGACCACCACCATCCAGCTAACATCAGCAGCGCTCTCATCGTCATCAGCACTGCCATCACCGTTGTCATCTCACGACAATGAGTCATCGGGACCGTGTTCGGTACTCAACTGCTTGACTTCCCACCCAGACCCAGTAAGACCCAGGATGTTATGAAAAGCTGGCCTGGCTCAGGGCCTCGAAATGCTGAACCCTAAACCCATGGCAACCGTTTGCGTGATAAACTAGCCTGGAAGTCAGGTGGCTGAAACCCCCCCGACCTGCAATGTACCAGGTTTAGCCCTGTTTTCTTAGGCAGGGTTGAGGGGCTGTAGAGCCGGAACAACCCCCACACTCCTGGAGCAAACCCACCAAAAGACCTTCCCTGCAGCTTCGGCCCCCAGTGATCAACAGGGTCATGGAACTTCTAGACCCTGAACTCTAAACCCTAAACCCTAAACCCTAAACTACCCCTATTTTCCCCCCACCCCATCCCAGTGATCAACAGGGGTCATCGGACCTCCTGCAGATCCAAGCCGCCAGTGGCCGCCTGGAGCGCCCTAAGCCCAACACCCGAAACCCCAAAACCTAACCCTAAACCCTAAACCCTAAACCCTAAACCCCAAACCCCAAACCCTAAACCCTATACCCTAGCACACACACAGTGGTGAAAGTCGCAGGGCGCGGGGATGGTCAATTTCACGTCACTCACGCCGTTTCGAGCTCGTGGTTTGGGGGGGGGGGGGGGAGGGTTCAGGGTTTTTGAGGGTTCAGGGTCTAGGGCGTTTAGGGTTTAAGGCTTAGGTTTAGGGCTTAGGGCTTAGGGTTTAGGGTTTAGGGTTTGGGGTTTAGGGTCTAGGGCGTTTAGGGTTTAGGGTCAAGGGTTAAGGTGGGCTTGCGGGGCGTAGGGGGTTTAGGGCGTTAAGGGTTTGCCCTTCAAACTTACTCAAAGGGGAGCCACCCCCCCCTCCCCCCCACCCACGAAACCCTAAACCCTAATCCCGAAACCCTAAACCCCAAACCCCAATCCATAAACCCGAAACCCCAAACCCTAGCCCCTAAACCCTAATGATCCAAAGCTCCCTTTCGGAAGGGACGGGCAGGTGACTTGAAGCCGCGTCGCCTCGAAGGCAAAGGTGCTGTTCAGCGGCACCTTCAGTTCTGTGCTTTGTAACTTACAGGGGTTTAGGGTTTAGGGTTTAGGGTTTAGGGTTTAGGGATTTAGGGTTTACGGTGTTAGGGGTTTATATAGTCCTTCAAGGTTTTGGGGTTTCGGGTTTGGTACAAGGTTTAGGCGCTTTAACACTTACAGAGTTTAGGGGTTCAGGGCTTTAAGGTTTCGGGTTTATTGTTTAGGGGCTTAGGGCTTTAGGATTTACTAAGGGTTTAGGCCTTCAAGGTTTTCGGGTTTCGGGTAGCTTTAGGGCTTCGGATGGTTTAGGGCTTTAGGGTTTCGGGTTTAGGCGGGTTTAGCATGGGGCTACAAGGCCAAACGATTTTGGCTTCGGATTTCTCCACAGGGTTCAGAATTAGGACTCAAGCGTGAACGGTACCCTAAACCCTCAACCCCAAACCCTAAACCTTAAACCCTAAACCCTAACCCCTAAACCCTAAACCCTCAATCCTAACCCTAAACCGCTTCACGGAGAGCTGACGGCTTCGGGGGTTTTCGGGATCAGGGTTCGCACTCCTTACAAGCCTTGGCTGCACTCAGAGGGGTAGCTATAAATTGGTTTTTTAGCTGCCTTGTTAAGAAACCCAATAAACCCGAAAAGGCTAAGGATCTAAAGTTTAGGGTTTAGGGTTCAGGGTTCAGGGTTTAGGGTTACAGCAAAGCACCACAAAGAAGCTAGCAGGCTACAGATGGGGGGGGGGGGGCTACAGGAAACCCTACATCCTCTAAGCCCGAAACCCGAAAAACCTAAAAACCCTAAAGGGGGTTTAGGGTTTAGGGCCTAGGTCTTAGGGCTACACCCCCCAAACCCTCAACCCTAAACCCTCAACCCTCAACCCTAAACCCTAAACCCTAAACCCTAAACCCTACACCCCCCTAAACCCTCAACCCCCTCGAAACCCCTGAGCCATTGGGTCTGGCGCGTCGCTCCGAGGGGCAGTCTCCGGGTTGTACCTGCGCCAGGCGCCAGGGCTTGTAGGGCTGCGAGGCAGAGGTGCGGTTGGGGTGCAGTTGGGGTCACATGACCCAACTAAGTGGCCCTAAACCCTAAACCCTGAACCTTGAACCTTGAACCCTGAACCTTGAACCCTGAACCCTGAACCCTAAACCCTAAACCCCCGAAACTCTTGCTTAAGGAAGACCTGAGGACCTCCGATGTAGGGAATGTAGGGGTTTAGGGGTTTAGGGGTGTAGGGGTTTAGGGGTTTTGGGGTTTCGGGGTTTAGGGTGTAAGGCTTAGGTTTAGGGTTTGGGGTTTAGGGTTTAGGGTTTAGGGCTACTCCTTGGGGTTCAGATAGGCCGAATGACTCCTAAATAGGTCCTAAAAAGGGGCTGTGTGGTAGACCGCCTGGTCTGGAACAAATAGGTGGTAGCCGAGTAACCGTTCTTGCAATAAGGGTACCCTTCTTGGTGTTGGTTACGTTTGGAAAGGAACCCAGAGCCCCAAAAGGGCCGAAACGGTACCACTGGGCTACGAAGAATACGACGCGAGGCCAGTGGTGTGGCGCCAGTCGGCTTAGGATTTTCATGCCGAGCACTTCGCACATGAATGACCAGATGTTCAACAGGTTTAGGAGTTTACTGGTTCATAGTTGGGATAGTAATAAAATTTTAAAAATTTTATTCCTTATTGAGTTTAAGTACCCTTAAAAATGTAAAATGTTACCCCACTATGATAAAGTTTAGGGGTTTCGGTCTGAGGGCTTACAGGGCCCAATGCCCTGGAAGAACCGCAAGTCCCAAACGCGTAGGGGTGGGTTTAGGGTTTGGGATTTGGGGTTTCGGGTTAGGGCTTGCGGTTTAGGGATCAGGGATTAGGGTTTAGGGTTTAGGGTTTAGGGCTTAGGGATAGGGTTTAGGGTTTAGGGTTTATAGTTAGGGTCAGCAGGAGTCAGGACAAAGCTGCCGGGTGCCAGGGCACACGATGTTGGGATCAAAGAGCCCATCTGGCTGCCATTGCACGACCTCCACCTCATTGAAGGTTTAGGGTTTAGGGTTTAGGGCTGAGGACCCAAAGCCCCAAAACCCCAAAAAAGGAACAGCCACCTCACAACTTTCCCCTAACGCCTCGATGTTCAGGGTTCTGATCCCCTCAACACCCCACCCCCCCCCCCCCAACAACCCGCCAACAACTAGCCACCCGCAAAGCCTTGTTCGCCCATCGCACCTTGAGACCTGTTAACGTCTGGTTACCGTATGATTCCCCCCCCCCCCCCTCCCCAACATCCCCCTCCCAACACTTACTAGCCACCCCAAAAACCACCGAAAACTCCCTGAAGCCTCCCCTGAAGGGTTTAAGCTCCCCGTAAACGCAATACTCCAGAATCCCGAGATCGTTGGCTCAAGGTCTTGAGCAAGGTCCAGAGGGCATGGGAGCGCCAGTCGGGCCATTGGTGTGGTTTGCTCCCTAAACCCTAAACCCTAAACCCAAAGAGGCCAATGAAGTCACCGAGGCTTCTGCTCGGCTTCTACCGGGTGCGTGGGGTGTAGGGTTTATATAGGGTTTATATAGAAAATGGGACGCTGTGGGAGTGCACTTTTTTTTACTTAAAATGCAGAATTTCAAACAAAAAACCTAAAAAAACACGAAAAACCGTGCAAAAAGGTATAATACACAAAACAAATCCCCACAAAAACCAAAAAAAACAAACAAACCAAAAAAACCAAAAAAACCAAAAAAAACAATCCTGAGAGACTCTTCCCAGGGGTCCGGGTCCCCAACAGAGTCCCTCAGGATTGGTTTTTTTGGTTTTTTTGTTTTTTTTGGTTTTTTTGGTTTCCTGGGGGACTCTGTTGGGGACCCGGACCCCTGGGAAGAGTCTCTCATATTTTTTTTAAGGTTTTGTGAGATTTTATTTCTGAGTGCCCTTTTGTACGTGACAAAAGCACTAACATGGACAATCAAGCACATGGCATTCTGTGTTTCTCTCATCTGGTGGGCGATGAACTAAATGTCCTGATGCTTGCGAGAGGCGTGACAAAATTCTCTCTAGGTCCTGCTTTGCACAAATTTAAACAACATTGATATATTATCCATGAATTTCGTGCTCCCAGCCACATGGTTTGAAAAGCATGGATTTTTTGGAAAACATTGGCCCGACGTTTTTTCGGCTCCATCCTTCAAAAATTGGTAAAACCAATGTTATCCATGAATTTCGTGCTCGCGGCCACATGGTTTGAAAATCATGGATTTTTGGAAAACGTCGGTTTTACCAATGTTTTTCGGCTCCATCTTTCAACAACATTGGTAGAACCAATGTTTTCCATGAATTGCGTGATCTGAGGCTCTCTCCCAGCCACCATTTCTCGAGGAGGTACACAAAAACAAACTCGAATCCTGCAAAATCTCGAGAGAGTACCAAAACCTCCATATAATCAATCACGCCCCAATACGCAAGGCATGACATCTATCCTAAAAACTATACCTTAGCTAGGATGTCTCCAGCAATCATCCCCCAATAAGCAAAACCTAATATCTCTACTAAACACTGTACCTTAGCAACATATTTTAAGACATCACGCCCTAAGGTCCCTACCAATTTAATAAGGCTCCTATCAATTTAAACAGGGTTCTTATTCATGTTACTGGGATTCGCAAAGGGTTTTTTATTGATTTTAAGGATTCGGCTCATACTAGTTTAGTAGGGTTCCTATTAGTTCTTGTACAAGGATTCTATTGTTTTGCAGGCCTATTGGTTCCTATTCATTTTAGTAAGATTCCTTCTCGTTTTAATGGGATTCCTGTGAATTGTAACCCGGGTTCTTTTTGATTTGTCAAGGGTTCCTATTCATTTTAATAGGCTTCCGTCCTATTAATTGCTATGCGGTTCCGATAATTCAATAGAGGATCCTAATTATTTTAATAAGGCTCCTACTCATGTAATAAGATTCCTATCAATTTTCATCAGATTCTTGTTCATGTTAATGGGATTCGTATTAATATCTCAATATTTATAGGGATCTCATTCACTTTAACGGGGTTCCTATTGGTTTAGGCTCATGTTCATTTTAGTATTTCCAAGGGTTCGCCTTATTTTTTATAGGAGTCCGATTGGTTCGTATTAATTGGAGTAGGGTTCCTCTTCAGTTTAATAGAATTCCTATTAATTCTACGAGGATTCTCATCTTTTTGTGAGGCGCCTCCAATTCATTTTAAGAGGCTTCCTATTGACTTTACGGCTCCGATTAATCTAAAATAGGGTTCCTACGGATATAAATAGAGGATTCCTCTTGTTGTTTCTAGGATTCCAATAAAGTTGGCCCATTTACTTTGAAAACGGGGACAGGACATACACCGTATCGCTGCTTTGTGTTGGTGCACTTGCATGTTGTGCATGACTCGCGATTTTGTTTATATAAAATGCGGCTGCGCTGTGAGAGTGTTTTTGAAATATCTTTAAACAAATAGAGAAAAGTGCACTCCCACAGCGTCCCGGTCTCGAAAATATAGGGTGTAGGGTTTAAGGTTTAGGCCCCCCCCCCCCCCCTAAGCAGAATCAATGGCTCCAGGCCTAGGTTTCTAGGTTTAGGTTTGGGGCTTGTTTTTTTTTTTTTTCCCCCTGGTACCTTGTAAACAACATTCCGAAGTAGAAACCTCGAAAATTCGAGAGGGGGGGGGGGGGGGGGGGGCTCAAAATTATCCCGTCACTCCGGGTGTCTGGGACATCTTTGGTCGGGTTGGGGAGGGCTTCGCCAGGCCAAACCTCCAATGGGGGCCTTGATAATTGGAATGGGGTTTTGGGAGAGTATTATGGTATATTTACAAAGGGACTATGAGGGAAGACGATTAGTAATTATTCCGACCCCTAGATTACTCAACCTGGTTGCCCGGCTTGGATGTGCTGATCAAGGGTTCGGGGTTTTGGATTTAGGGCACAAAACGAGTTCATGGTTGGTATAAGATAGAAATTTATATGTATATTCCCTATTGGGTTCAAGTACCCTTAAAAATGTAACATGGTACCCAACTATGACAGAGAAAATGGGGAAGGCCCCCGCCTCCCCTCCCCCCCTCTCCCGCCCACGAGCTCTAGATTTATGTAGAACTCAAAAGGGCTCAGCTGGAGTCACTGGGCCTTCACCCCCCGGCCCCGGCCCGAAGCCCTGAGGGGTGTTCAATTTCCCTAAACCCTAAACCCTAAACCCTAAACCCTAAACCCTAAACCCTAAACCCTAAACCCTAAACCCTAAACCCTAAACCCTAAACCCTCCAAACCCCAAACCCCAAACCCTTAAACCCTAAACCCCAAACCCTAAACCCTAAAACCCAGGGTGAAAAGCCTCCGCATCTGTCCCGCGGTCGACTTCGCTGCTGGACGCTTGGCTTTGGCTCGCGTTCTCCTGCTGTCGGACGGTTTAGGGTTTAGGGTTCAGGGTTCAGGGTTCAGGGTTTAGGGTTTAGGGTTTAGGGTTTAGGGTTTAGGGTTTAGGGTTTAGGGTTTAGGGTCTCCTGCTGTCGGATGGCGGGGAGTGAACTTGGAGGCTCATGAGTACTTATCTTGGCTGCACTTAGGAGGGCAGCAAAAAAGTAAGTTCTTAGCTGCCTTATTAAGAAACCCAACAAACCCAAAAAAGCTAAGGATCTAAAGTTACAGCAAACACCACAAAGTTATAACCCCAACTATAAGTCTACTTTGGGATGTTCCCCCTTATACTAACAGACCTTAATAGGGATTTTCTTTTGGGGGGTACTAGAATCCTATTGTTAGTATAAGGGGGGGACGTCCCAAAGTCTACTCATAACCTACTTAGAGGACTTAGGGGGGCTTCTAAGTACAGTTGCAATTGGGGTGAGAAGTACCCATGAACCTCCAAGAAGGGACACGCACAACCCGAAGCCTCCAAGCACTCTCTGCTTGGAGGTTCATGTAGGTACCCTACATAGGGTGATAAGTATGTACTTACCATACTTATGACCCTACCCACGAACCTCCAAGTACAAGGATTTATGGTTGCAAGCGCAATTACAGTTTACTAAGGGGTTCCTTGCCAAGTTCGGCATTTAGAGCTCTGCCCGCTGTAGCTCCACTCGAGGCTAGGCAAGGGGCGGGAAAGCCCGTCCCCTCCCACCGCGAAGCTGGGACTTTCCGGCCCCTGGCGTTTGAGGGTTGAGGGGTTAGCACCACGCGCGCCTGAACGACGACGGAACCACTGGCAGTAACCTCGGTAGGTCGGTAGGGGCTATAAGGCTTCCGGTCTTAGGATTTGGGGGGCTTAGGGTTTCGGGTTTAGTGTTGAGGGTTTAGGGTAGCACCAAGACCCCATCCGGGTAATCCTCTTTAGAGACTTTCTTTTCAGGATTTCTTTTTAGCACAGATTTGTCCTTTTTTTTACTTGTTTGGAAGGACCATGTTGTAGATGGTTGTTTTTTACGGTTTATCCCTTGAGGCCACAGCGCAGGAGGAGGGTTTAGGGCTCAGGGTTCCCAAATCTCTCCAAACTCTGGCCTCAAAAATTTGGAAGCCTCAAATCTCCTATAAACAGACACCGAACTTGCAGGTTCATGGGTATCCTGATAGGTGGGGTTATAAGGTTACCCTAAATGAGGTATCGGTGTAGTTACCCTATGCTAACCGTGCTTAGAGGCTCCCAAGAATCTTCAAGTAGACCCACGCAGGTTTCAAGGATCTGGTTTAGGGTGGACCAAAAGCACAGGTCAAAGTACCCAATGCTGGGGGAGGTCGGAAAACCCTTTGTTGCTCTAAACCCTAAACCCTGAACCCAGTCTCGAGGTTCTTGTTCAAAAGAACGGTCCCCCAACATCACCCTAGGGTAGCTTCCCTTTTTTCGTAAGGATTCCCCTTTCCAGGGGACTCTTATCCCAAAAAGTCCTCCCTGTAAAGCTCCTTTATCGTAGACACGTAGGTGTCTCTAGAGTTTGCAGGAGTGCAGAGTCTGGGGCTTGTGGGGTTTCTGGGGCTTGTGGGGTTTCTGGGTTTGGGGCTTAGGGTTTAGGGTTCTGGGTGTGGGGTTGATGGTTGTGGGTTTGGGGTCTAGGATGAAGGGTTTAGGGCTAGGGTTTAGGGTTTGGGGTTTGAGAGGGGGGAAGACTTCCAGGAACCTTGCAGTAGCCTGAGGGCATGCTGTCCGGTACCGGGCTGCGGGTGTGGCTCTTCGGGGTCTAGGTCTTAGCCTTCCTTTGTTCGGCGCAAAGAAGCTCCTGATTTGCTCAGCGTGTACGAAGGTGGCCATGAAATATCAAAAAGTCTGCGGGGCAGGTTTGGGTTTAGGGTTTAGGGTTCAGGGTTTACGTTTCAGCACCCAGCAAATACACACCAGCACAAGAGCCAAGGGCCATTCGAAGCAACTAGACCCCTAAACCTGAATGCTCAATAGGTGCCTGTGTTTCCAAATTCACCCAAACCCCTAAACCCTAAACCCTAAGCCCTGAACCCTGAACCCTAAACCCTAAACTAACCCTGAGCCCTTATCCCGAAACCCTAAACCCTAAACCCTAAACCCGAACCCTACACCCTAAACCCCAAACCCTGAACCCCTAATTCCCTAAACCCTGAACCCCTAAACCCCCGGTGCAGCGTCCCAGGTGCCGTGGTCGTGGTCTGCGGCAGGCTGCACTGGAAGCTTGACGGCTGCAGTTGGCCTGAACATTAGGGGCCGGGGTGGGGGGAGGCTACGGTTTAGGGTTAGGGTTTAGGGTTTAGGGTCTAGGGTCTAGGGTCTAGGGTCTCGGGTTGAGGATTTGGGGAAGAGGGGTTAGGTTGTGAGGGCGTCACAAGGGCTTTAAATTCTTAGTGTTTCCAACATCTAAACCCTGACTGAACCCCAACAATATGTACACCAATGCTGGAATGCCTTGCAGTCCTACATGATCCCACTGTTTCACGGGGTGGTTCCCAAAATAATGGCCCTAAACCCTCGTGACCCCTGACAAGCCCGAAAGCCTTGTGGTCAAGCAGAGCGAGGGACGTATGTGGGATCGGGCTTAGGGCTGTTTAGGGTTTAGGGTTTAGGGTTTAGGGTTTAGAGTTTAGGGTTTAGGGTTTAGGGTTTAGGGTTTAGGAAGGGTCTTCTTTACTCACTATAAGTGTGGGCACCCCAGACATTAACCCAAGATATTGCAATGCGCATTGTAGGAACTCCTCAAAAGGGTACTCCTTAGGATTCAGGACCTTAAGCCCTAGAACCTTAGGTCTCTTGAACCTTCTACGCCTCCTGCCTAAAGCGCCCGGAAACCCTACACGTGCCCTAAACCCTGAACCCTAAACCCTAAACCCTAAACCCCAAACACTAAACCTAAACCCTAAACCCTACACCCATCCTTCGAGGCATGTGAGGTTGGCATCCGGCTCGTAGGATCCCGTACACAAGGAAGTGCAACTGAACAGGGTAGCAGGGTTTAGGGTTTAGGGTTTAGGGTTTCGGGTCTAGGGTTTTGGGGTTTTAGGGTCTAGGGTTTAGTGCTTCGGCGGATAGGCTAGGCGGACTTGGGCCAAGGAAGCTTCGTCTGTTGCAGTTTGGGAGCTCTGGCGGTAAATGAGGGACTTCCATCAGTCACTACTACAACAGTATTATTCTGATAAACATGTTACATGAACAAGTATCCTCAAGACTGATATCGATAGATTCAAAAATACTGCTGATAGGATTGAGGGGTATTCTATACCTCCTTCTGTGTCAAGTACCTTTTGGTTCAGATTCTCTCTGGTGTCTGTGTTGCCGTTTATGCTTGCCTGCATCTTGGCGGAGAGGGAGGTTGGGAAGAGGGGCTGCGGGTGGGTGGAATCTTGAGGCACAGCGACGGACTTGGAGGCAGCGAACCCTAAGCCCCACACCCCAAACCCCAAACCCTAAACCCTAAACCCCAAACCCTAAACCCCAAACCCCAAACCCTAAACCCTAAACCCTAAACCCTAAACCCTGTCCCAGCTCCAGGGCCTCGATCCCGAGGCTACAAGATGGCCCTCCGCACATGGAGGTTGCGCGGCGTGCTCCTCCAACCCATCTAAGGACAGGGCTTAGGGTTTGGGGTTTAGTGTTTGGGGTTTAGGGTTTAGGGTTTGGGGTTAGGGTTTAGGGTTTAGGGTTTAGGGTTTAGGGTTTAGGATTTAGGGCGTTTTGTTTTGGGGTTTGGGGTTGGGGGGATTAGGGTTTGGAAGCTCCGCCACAGGGACCCCATTTACAATGAAGGGGCGTGGTCTCTAAGTGGTGGAATCATCCTTCCAACCGGAAAGGGCCCTGTAAGATGTTTTTAGGTTTTAGTGTTTACTCCAAACGCAACGCATACTGCAGGAAACAAGGGGATCCTAGACCCTAAACCCTAAACCCTAAAACCTTACCCTGAAGATGGAGGTCCATGGTACTTCTAAGTCGGGCGATTCGTAGAAGTACCCTAAATATGGAAGTATAGTTACCCCATACCTATAACCGAACTTGTAGCTACCCATGAATGCTGCTCTAAACCCGATGAACGCTGAATCCTAAACCCTGCCGAGACGCGACACCCCACGGGGCGTAACAAGGGGCGGGCAGGCAGCGGAAGTGCGGCGGCGTGAGGACACCATCGGAGCAGTGCCTAGGGCTTCTTTGTGTGTGCGTGTGTGCGTGTGTGTGTGTGTGTGTGTGTGTGTGTGTGTGTTTTTTTTTTTTTTTTTGGGGGGGGGGGGGGGGGTTGGGTTTAGGCGCTGTGGGGGATTGGGGTTTCTGGGGCTTGTATAGGGTTCAGGGTGATTAGGCTTTAGGGGGTTTGGGTGTTCTGGGACTTGGGCCTTTGGCTTTTTCAGAGGCTTAGGGCTTAGGAGTTTGGGGTTCTGCGGTGTCTGCTGGGTTTTTATAGGCTTTGCAGAGAACCGAAACATCCGAACCCGAAAACCCCCTGAGCCCTCAACGAGGGATTCCTCCAACCCTGCAAGCTTATTATAACGCAAGCCATCAGGGACAACATGAGCCTTGTTTGTGTTCATTAGAATGTTTAATGGCATGTTTAGAAAATACGGCAAGACTATACATACTCCCCTTAGAACCTTAATGAAACAATATTTTTAATATCCTCTTGGGTAATAAATAAACAAAATGAAAAAATATGCCCAAGGGGGATGTAGAAGAAGTTCAAATGTGTATGTGATTGCCCCTGAGCCCTCAGGTCTGAGCCCTGAGCCCGGAGGTTCATGGGTAGCTATATGTAGGGCTTCTCAAGTAGGGCACCTATTCGTACCCTAAGCCCGCAACCTTTACCGACCACCGGATTTTAGGGCCTAACCCCTAAACCCTGAACCCTAAACCCTAAACCCTAAACCCTGAACCCTAAACCCGAGCTTAGAACTCATGAGTCCAAGCCCCCACAAACCCCAACAACCTGCTCGTGCTCCAAGCTTGGCTTGGAGCACGATGTAGAAACCAACGACCGAAACCCTAAACTTAGCCTAAACCCTAAATCCTAAATCCTAAACCCTAAACCCTAAATGCCGGAACCCTGAACCCTGAACCCAGAACTAGCGTGCATCTGGCCGCAAAGACGAGACCGTCGGAAGAAAGCCCTCCACACAGACGGGGGTACAGTGGTCGAGGTTCACCTCCTGAAAGTCTGCAGGGTTTAGGGCGCCTAGGGTTTTTTTGGGCTTCGGGGTGCTCAGGGCTTGGGGTCTAGAGTTTAGGGTTTAGGGCTTCGGGCTTCAGGTTTTGCGGGATTTGGGGTTTTGGGGGCCGTGGGGCTAAAAGCGTGCTTCTTGGGCTGCGGAGGAAAAGGGTTTGGGTGGGGGAGGGCGCGGAGAGAAGAACAGGAGCGCACTTTGGATCCTGTCCCTAAACCCTAAACCCTTAAACCTTAAACCCCACCCTAAAGCCTAAACCCTAAACCTTAACCCTTAACCCTGACGAAGCTTGAAGCCCAACCCCCTAAACCCCCCATGCAATTTCGATGCAAGGCTTTTGGCGTTTGGGGGCTTTATGGCATCACAAAAAACTCACGCTACCGCCCTGGCTTGGGGTTACGGGGTCACGGCTTATGAACCCTAACCCAAAAACCTTCTGGGGTTTTTTTGGTATTGGGGGGGTTGGTGGCTTCCTGGCTGCACGCTCAAGACTGCCGACGAGTCCTCACCCTCCACGCACGAGGGGGAAGCAGCATTGGCCACGGCTTGCCTTAAGTGCCGAGGTCGGGGAAACATCTGGGTAGTTCAGCACCACAGGACCCCCGAAAAGCCAGTAAACCCCAGCCCTCAACCCCTGTCACTCTTACACCCGAAGAACACCACCGAAACCCTGAAGGCTCGCCGGCACTTTAGAGTTAGAAGTATGCAATCAAAAAGACTCCCTAGACCCTAACCCTAAACCCCTGCGTCCCTAAGCTCAAAAGGAGACTGGAATGCCTGCGGACATGTCTTGCCAGAGCTGCGGTCAGAAGTCGCTTTCAAGGTGGGGTTGGTTTTTGATAAACGCGCCAATCTCTGGCCCCTTCAATTGGTCAGCGGCTGTTGGTTGCTGGCGAAGGCTGCCATCGTCGTTCGGCTTTTAGGTTGGAGCCCTGGAGCCTGTGTGTATTCTTGTATAGACGCGACTGCTAATTTTGGCTTGAGTTTACCAAAGGGCTTTTGAAAGTCGTAACCACCGACTCCGGTCGCGCCATCATCATGAGCTTGCTGCAGTTAGAGGAAGTCTGGTCGTTCCTCGTCACATAACATCAGCACAAAGATCAAAGATCACGCTCAGACAGCCTTTGATGCCACCAGCAGACAGGCACAGCGCCGCAATGTTGACCACAATTGATAAAGTGACATGACACACAGTTGAGAGGCGTAGGATCGGCCCGACATGTTCATCAAAACGAGCTGCAAGCATCCGCAGCGCCACTAACGGAAGCCATCTCAGTTCACACGTTTCCATCCAGCGGACTGCTCCAGGAGATGCGCGTGTCACAGGGCGTCCTCAGCAACGAAGCCGCCAGGACTAGCTATGGGACTGTACGGTCTGTAAGACTCCAGCGAAAAAATCACACTTGGCTGAGCAGACCGAGCAGGAAGGTCCACCCATTGACACCTCCAAAGTCACGCAAGAAAGCAGGGACGGAACATGTTCTGCAACACCAGGGCCTCGGGCTGAAACTAACTTCCGGATCCACAAATCCCGCGCCCAGCCGACTCGATGTCCCTTTACAGGCATCTGCAGGCAAGGCTTGCCCAGCAAGAGGTCTTGCATCTCCCGGAAGGGTCGCCTTCCGGGCCTCAGCCCCACTTCGCACGACTTCGCGCGAGCACGACTGTCGTCGGTTCAAAACAGTCTGAGAAACATGCTGCACTGTCACAAAGGGTAGCCCGAAGACTGTCCCGTTCCGCTGATCAATGTCGCTTTTCTGAGGGGCGAGCTCCACAACAAGCTCGAAGATGGATAGTTGCGCCCGCCGCCCAACAATCTGAGGAAGACGGTTGTGCTTCCTATTCTGCGGTGACGCTACTGGTGGCATGCAACTATACTATGCTCCGAGATGACGATTCGGCAATCCGACGCCCAACCAAAAACTATCTGGGCGAAGAAGGGCCCAGATAGAAGTTCTCGTGCTTGGTAACGCAAATCTCCCATCTCAGAGGTTGCATGAAAAGGGCTTGAGGAGGCTGGAGTGGGAACGTAGCAGTTCACTAGAACTCACTCACTCACTCACTCACTCAGGCCGGCCAACCCCCCCACCCACCCAGGAAAATGAAACAACAAAAACAAAATGACATTAGAAAACGAATAAAAGAAACCCTAAGCACACCAACTCCACTGATGCGCATGCAGTTTTGCTAATTGAAGTAGAGCCACCTATACGAGGACCCTGGACTTGAAAAGCCGCAAGTTACGATGCCGCAGAATGCACGCCTGAATCCCTCAACCTCTAAACCCCCAAAAGCCTAAACCCCTAAAACCCTAAAACCTAGAAGCCCCTACACCTTAAGCTCTAACCCTAAACCCTAAACCATAACCCTAAACCCTAAACCCACTCTAACCCCCCCCTCCTCCCACGAGGACGCGGCGGGGCGACGCACGGGCCTGCCTCCAAGTGGTATCTGTACACCACCTCTCGAAGGGATTGGTTTGGAGGGGTTTAGGGTTCAGGAGCTGCGCGTGTGCATGGACATTCATGGGTAGATGTAAGTAGGGTTATAAGCACGGTAATTATGCTTGCACAGGTTAAGTATAGCCCTGTTTAAGGCACGTTCAGGGTCGATAGGGCTTTGGAGTTTTCGGGAGGAGGATCCCAGATTTTTGTAGGAGGCTGGGCTTTGTCGGGTCCCTATAACCCTATTCCCTACCTACTTGACTATCACCCTATAACTTTATAGCCCTATCACCCTATAACCCTAAAACCCTATAGTCCTGTAACTTTCTAACCCTAAAACCCTATAACCCTAAACCCTAAACCCCCTGTCTTGGGATTCTCGGGCGCAGACGTACTCCGAGGGCGAGGATGCGTACAAGATCTGCCGCAGAGGATCCAAAGAGAGGCCTCGAAGTGCGCAGGTTTAGGGTTTAGGGTTTAAGGTTTAGGGTTTAGGGTTCAGGTTTCAGGGTTCAGGGTTTAGGGTTGGAAAAGAATGGTTTAGGGTTTAGGGTTTAGGTTTAGGGTTTACAGTGTTTAGGGCCTTTGGGGCTTACAAGGGGTTAGGGTCTTAGGGCTTTTGGGGTTTGCGCAAGCTGTTTCGGGTGCATCCGCAGGGGCCTGGGAATGTCACGAAGTGGTGATTTCGCTAGGAACAGCAAACTCGACCCAAGAGTAAGCTTCGAATAAAAAAGGATGCCCTATTTTGGGGCATATAAGGGCACCTAAACCCCAAAGAACAGGTCCTAGAAACTAAGAGGAAGCGCACGGGAGCTGCCACTGTTCTTGGCCAATACCCTAAGGATCCGCGTACCTTTATAGTCTATACTTGGGCCTGCATGAGGTTCCTATATAGTAGTTCGACAGACAGACGTCCACCAAGGCGAAGTGTCTATCACCGCATTTGCTGTTACTAGAATGTTACTACCTCCCCTAGATCTTGACAGCGACTTGGTGTATATGCATATATATATATATACACACACCGCCTCCCTCATTGTACGAAAACCCCAAAACTCAAGCCTAAACCCTAAATCCAAAGCAGCAAACCCTAACAGCCCGGACCTTCTCTGGTAAGCCTGGCTGCCGTAGAGCGAGGGCTCTTGACCAGCTGCGGGCACCGATTGCGGGAGCGTGTTGATGATGCCTGGGCTTAGGGTTTGGGGTTTAGGGTTTAGGGTTTTGGGTTAAGGGTTCAGGGTTTAGGGTTTAGGGTTTAGGGTTAGATGCAGCTACGGTTGCTAGGGGGATGAGAGTGAGGTAGGGCGTTAGGGTTCAGGTTAGACGGTGTGGTTAGGGCTTAGGTTGCACAGGGTTTAAGTTGTATATAGGGTTTAGGGTTTAGGGTCTAGGGTTTAGGGTTTAGGGTTTAGGGTTTGGGGTTTAGGGTTAGGGTTTAGGGTTGAGGGTTGCCCTAAAACCCTTCAAGCACTTCCTTCCCGCGCCTGTCGACAGGTTCACCTCCCGGATGCGGCCGTTGTCGCTCTCGGCGATGTAGACCACCTGCGGCCGAAATCCCTAAATCCCTAAGCCTTAAGCCGTAAGCCCTAAACCCTAAACGCTAAACTAAACCCTAAACCCTAAACCCGAAACCCTAAACCCTAAACTCTAAACCCGAAACGTTAAACCCTAAACCATATACAACTTAATATACAACCTAAACCCTAAACCCTAAATATTAAGGGACGGTCAGCGTTTGTACACGGTGACGAAAGGATGCTTCAGACCATTTGCAGCTTCAAGTACATAATCATCACACTCATCACAACCATCACAATCAGTGTATCAATAAGCACACTACTACATACAATCGTAAGAATACAAAGAATAACAATAGTAACCTGGAAATATAACTGGTGCCCTTTTGGGTTGGAAAGGGTGTATAAGTGAACCTGAGCCCTAACAAAAAGGCAGTAAGGGCCTACTCTGGTCCCAGTGATACTGAAGCAAGCCCCAAACCCCCAAAAAAACCCTAAACCCGAAACAGCATAACCCTAAACCCAAAACCTTAGACCCTAAGCCCTTAGCCCGTAACCCTAAACCCTAAACCCTAAGCACCGAAACCCCTAAAAATGTCCGCTCAACGAGGCGGGGTGGGTGGGGAGTTTGGGCCTCGCCCGCGGCCACGACAGCAACGGGCCCAGCGAGGACGGCGAAGGGCGCCGGGCCTCCATCCTTTTGGGCTTTTAGAGGGCTTTAGGGTTTAGGGTTTAGGGTTTAGGGTTTAGGGTTTAGGGTTTAGGGCTTAGGGTTTAGGGTTTAGGGTTTAGGGTTTAGGGTTTAGGGTTTAGGCTTTGAGGGCTCTTATAGGGCTTTTGGGCTTTGCAGGGTTTTGGGGGTTTTTGAGGGCTTTTTGGTGAGGACTTTCAAAGGGCTTAGGGCCTCCATCCTCTGGGGCTTTTTAAAGGGCTTTTGGGTTTTGACGGCTTTTTTTGGTATTGGTTTGAAAGAGGCTTTTACAGAGCTTTTGGTGGCTTTCAGGGTTTTAGGGTTTTTAGGGTTCTTGGGGCTGTGGGGGCTTTCAGGGCTTTCGGGCATTTACGGTGTTTAGGGCTTTGAGGGTTTTTGAGGTTTTAGGTTTTTTGGGGTTTGAGGTATAGGGTTTTTGGGGTTTAGGGTTTCAGGGCTCTGAAATCCCTAAGCCGAAACCCCTAACACCACCAAACCCTAAGCCCCTAGACCCTAACCCCGAAACCCCTAAAATCAAACCCAGACCCCTGAAACCAAAAACCCGCAACCCTAAATTCTAAACCCTAAACCTACACCCGAGACCCTAGACCCTATATAGACCCTAGACCCTAAACCCTAAACCCTAAACCCTCCTCAACCCTAAACCCTAAACCCTAAACCCTCAACCCTAAACCCTAAACCCTAAACCCTAAACCCTAAACCCTAAACCCTAAACCCCAAGTCTGCCCGGGCACGCCCGCGCCAGGAGAGGCCACCAGGAAGCCTTCGTTGCGCCTCGGAGGCAAGGGAGGGGGGGAGGTTCACACAAGGAGTCGCTAGGGTTTAGGGTTTAGGGTTTAGGGTTTAGGGTTTAGGGTTTAGGGTTTAGGGTTTAGGGTTTAGGGTTTAGGGTTTAGGGTTTAGGGTTTAGGGTTTAGGGTTTAGGGCTTAGGGTTTAGGGTTATCCCGCATGAGCAATAAGTAGGCAGTCCCTAGACCCCCTACAAGTTCTACGCTCCTCCCCCGAAAGCCACGAACCCTGTCGCTGAGGCTTCACTACCAGGAGACCCTAAACCCTAAACCCCAAGCCCTAAACCCTAACCCCTAAACCCCAAACCCTAAACCCTAAACCCTAAACCTGCATCCAGGGTCCGCGGGGACTTTGCTGGGTTTAGGTTTTCGGTCTGATTGGAGGTGTTTAGGGTTCAGGTTTTCGGTTGCAGGGTTTCAAGGTTTAGGGCTTTGGGTTGAGGGTCGAGTTTAGGGTTGTGGGTTGAGGGGTTCTATGGTTTAGAGTTTGAGGAGTTCCAGGGTTGAGGAGTTTTGGGGTGTACATGGGGGTAGAGTGAGGTTTACTCGACCCTTATCCACAAAACCTGCCACGCGAAAGCCTGCACATGTAAATGTAAACCCAGCACGCGCCAGACCCGCGCCCCGAGCTGCCTAAGCAAAGACCAGGCAGCCTCCCAGCAAAGTCGGTGGTGAGCCCGGTTGTGAGGTTGGTCTGCCGCACTTGACCTTTTGGGGATGGGGCTTAAGGCTGAGGGTTTATCCGTCAGCCTTCAGGGAGTCAGCTGAGTTTGGGTCTTATAAGACTCTTGCATGGCGTTCTTTACCCTAAACCCTAAACCCTAAACACTAAACCCTAAACCCTAAACCCTAATAAACCCTGAACCCTAATAAACCCTAAACCCCTAAACCCCTAAACCCCTAAACCCTAAACCCTAAACCCTAAACCCTAAACCCTAAACCCTAAACCCTAAACCCTAAACCCTAAACCCTAAACCCTAAACCCTAAACCCTAAACCCTAACCCTACACCTTAAACCCTAAACCCCAAACCCTACAACGGGGGTGCAGCGGGAGGGGTGAACTTCCTGAGCTCGAAGCCCGTGCCGTAGGAGGCCGTGTAAAGGATGTCTCCTTGGGCGGTTGAGGGATGACTTTGGTTTAGGATTGATGGTTTAAGGGTTTAGGGCTTCGGGTCTCAGGTTTAGGGTGCAAGGTTTAGGGTTCAGGGTTTAGGGTCGAGATTGGTCGGGTTTTGAGCTTGGGGTTGAGATATTGCTTGGGTTAAGGGTGTTCAAAACCCGTGCCATAGGAGGCCGTGTGGAGGATGTCTTTTTAGTATGGGATTTAGGGTTCAGGGTCTAGATTGTTAGGGTTTTGTGGGTTTCGGGTTTCTCAGGATGTAGGCATAATTCTGGACGTTCAGGTTTTGCAGCCTTGGGGTTGAACCGCGCAACTTGGGTCCCCCTGTATACGCCAAGTTGAATAGAACCTCACATGATTACAGGAGAAGGGGACCCCGAATTTGGGAAAACCCCCAATTACGCTCCTGCATTTATCCTGGCGGACTTCTCCACTTCCGGAGCACAGTGCAACGAAGGCCCTACCACTCCATCATGCATCCAGCCATTGCGTGGTGATGGGGAGCAGCCCGGTTTTCGCACACCAACTGTTGTTGGTTGCTAGCTCCCTCAATACGCCAAGCTTTGAACTTAGTGGAGGACGGTAGATGTTCAAGCGAGCAATAATCATGAGGAGCGTGTAGACAGTAGACTTCAGAGTCAGCAACTTTTTTCTCTCCTCGAATTACATTGCGGATGTATTTGCTAATATCTACTCTGGTGGCTGCTTACAAGCTTTGCTTCCTAAATTTTGCGTCCAAACACACATGGTATTCGTCGAACTCCTCCAAGCAAGTTCGACTACTTCCAGTAACCCGCCTGATGTTCCCGTTATTCGCTTGACGCGGCAACCATATGTATTTCATGAGTATGAATTTATGTTATTCTTTTGGCGTTTCTAGAATTCGTACTGTTCCCGTACTGCGGACTTAATGTCACGAGTCACTCGTGGATTCCGAGCGCATTGGGTCCGAGCCAAAGGGAGTCCTGCAAGCATTACATGTGATATTGCACGGCTGGCATATTACAACAGCCCACATCCCAAGCTTACAGGGTCCATCCAACCCACATCCCAAGATGGAAGGGTTCATCCAGCCTCCCAACATACCAACATCTCAAGACCATCTAATACCCCAAGATGTTGGAATGTTGGGATGCTGACGGGGCCCTGCATGTTTTGGGATGCTGGGATGTTGCATGCGCCCTGTAACCTTGGGGTGTTGGGATGTGCCCTGCAGTCTCTGCTCGACATGAGGATGTCGAAGAAGTTGACTCGACTTTGGATTTGAGAAGTTTGGCTGCTTCTGCTGCTAGTTCTTTCCATGCCTGCTCCTCGTGACCTGCAGTGAAGCCTTAACCTTCCATGGTTATTCTACGCTTCCGGCTCTAGCTGAAGCAAGAGACTTGGCGAATTGGGGGGAGATGCTGCCAACTTCGTAGAGCCGCTGTGTCAGTCACCTCGACGCCACCGAGCTGCACAAGGAAACTTTGCCCACGTACACTCCAGCTGGTACGTACCTACGGGTTTAACGTGTGCACAGCAAACCTAGTTCAAGTCTAAAGGCTAGACAGAACATCAACTCGGAAACCGGGATGTTTCTGAGACAGTGCCAATCGAGTCTGAAGTTGGTGAGGGCTGTTCCTGAAACTCCGCAGATGCAATGCTGGCACGTTCGAAAACAGGCCCGCAGCATCCTAGTCAGGGAACCTGCGGGAGGTGAAGTGCATGACCCGTACGCTGCTATGAAAGTCTTACAAGAGCTTAATATGCAGTGCATCGGGCTATTGTAGATACCGTGTCTGCTCACAGCTTGCTACTGCCAATGGCCGCGTCCTTTGAACAACTCCACCATGGGAAGCCCGCAACATAATCGCAACATACACTATGCATGCTGAGACGTCCCAAACTAGGTTGTCATGATTTCACCATTGCGGCTTATTCACGCCGCCTTCATGCTCAGGAGCCATTGTTTCCTTGTGCCACAATCAAGTGCCACCTGGATGCTTGTGCATCTTTACATCAAAATTCGTCGTGAAATTGGGGATCCTTCGGGACTGCAAGGAGTGTTCGCGAAGCTCTCAATGGCACCGTGCCATGGCACAAGTATAACGTCACTCCTGCAAAATCGTGGCAAGCCAGCTCAGGTGGCTTCTGCTCATGCACCAAACTCGACAAGAGCAGTTGCAGCTTGCCTGGGTCCTGAGTCCTGCTGATTTCAAATCAAAAACAGAAATTGGCGTTGAACACTCTAGGTTTGGGCCGGTGTGGGCCTTAACATGTATACGATTCAGGTTCTCAGGTCTGCAGGCTCAATTGTAAAGGCGGCGACAGATCCGTAAGTATACGTCTGCAAAAGGCCAAATTTGAGGGTATTTTTCATACCTCAGCGTGGCAAAACCAATTGGGCAAGGTTTTAAGTCTTCCTTGTCTTTGTCGCGATCCAGTTCAGGGTAATGCTCAAGCTGGTGCCCCTCACATGCTGTCACGTCGCACTTATTGCACTGGTTCGTACCGCAAAGCATGTACTTTGTATTGGTCCTGGCCTTCACCGGCACACTATAGTCAAGTTCATACGCACTGCCGTCATGAGAGCTGGGCGCGACGATCAGAGCTCGCTCTTTGAACAGAATCCTTGAGAAGCACAGGCTTTTCATGCCTTGCGAAACAGCAATCCAAAGGGGGTAGCATCCTAGGACACACGGGTCTAGACCGTATACCCAAAAAACATGTAAGTACCCCCCGGCCCCCTCTACTGCGGGCAAGCAGTTCAGCAGTATATGCAAACCAAGCGTCAACCTCCACCAGAGACACGCGAGCACGACCCCTAAACGAGAAGCTGCGGATGATACCTTGCGTCTGCCCGGCGGACATAGATTGGCGTAGGACTTCCTAGGCTGGACTGTGAAGGCTCTGCCCCTGAAAAGTTCTGAGACCGGTTTTGATAGAGCTAACTTGCAACGAGACCACGCGGAAACCACAAAAAAAGTCAGCAAACAAATGTTGGAATATGTTGGAATGCTAGTCGGGTTGTATGGCTGTTGCTTTGCATTGGTTCAGGACTAGTCAACCTGAGAATCCTTAACAGGTTGTGCAGCAGATGTTCGGCAAGATTCTGATAGGATATGAAAGTTAAAGCCTCCTGTAAGACAATAATTGCCGTTGTAGCAAACCGCCGCCTGGCTCAATGGGCTTTGATGTGCATTGGAGAATATATCTGTCCGGAGGACTGTGGGAGTGAAAAGCTTTGTGTTGCTTCACGTCTCTCATGTCCAAAACAGGAGAAAAGAAGCACAAATTGAAGAAACCAAAAAGATAACAATACTTCATTATTGTGTTTCTGCTTGTGCATCTGTCGTCCAATACTTTACGACACTAGCAACTAGCAAGCTCTGGTTCCTATCGGGCGGTACACGACTGAGGTCATGTATTCTTAACACTACTATTGCTATTGCTTCTTTCACGCCAATGCTTTTTAATCTCGTACCCATATGACGGCTGTTTTATTCTGAGACTAGCAAGAGTAAACTCGAGTCGGCCCGAGTTCACCACCATGCCCTAACAGGGGACTCCACTAGTGACTTTCCACGATGAGGTCTAGGTTGATAAACGCCGAAATACGACCTTGCCGGATTTTCAGGCTTGTAGTGCTCTCAAGAAAGTAAGTCTTTTGCGCAGAACATGCCTCCCATCCGTGTACAGCTTCGATCTTTACAGGGGCTCGCCTTAAGTGCGCGTGCGTATGTAATATTAACATATATATATATATGCATATAAACCACAACCCAATCTAAATGAACGAATGCAATTTCCTAATACTGGTGCTATATTTTGTTATCTTATACCATAGCAGGCGTCCAAACGGGTGTATGGACACCTTCAGACTGGGGTCAAAATGGAAAGTGTTGTCCCACTGTGCAATTATAATGAGGACCGGTGACCGGAGTGCAATCAACATGAATAATACAACAAAAAAAGTACACTTAGTCTTCTTCAGGCCCCTACGGGGTTCGGCATAAATTGGACTGGATTGCAGCTATAAATCCATAAGGAAACTACAACATGTGTGGCTGTATTCTATACTGGACCAACGCGAGACCAACGCGAGACCAATCTTTTGCAAATGGGGGGGGGGGGGGGCAATCTGGGAACGATGAGAACCAATCTCGGACCAATATAACAATGGGCTCCCTCATGCAGACAAGCAAAAAACATTCCAGATTGGAGCCCAGCTTCGCGGCCATCCACTTGGAGCAGCAACTGGTCTTCTTCTCCACCCCAGTGCCTGTCAAAGATCTCTATCAGGCTGGAAATTTCGTCGGAACCCCAGCCGGCTGCTGCATACAAAGCATCGTATGTCAAAGGGTCGAAGCCATACGCTATGCCTGAAACCATCACTGCCGTCATCTGCTGGAGTTGCCATACCACCCCTACGATGCTCTGCTCGGGATCGGTGAATGCATCGTAGAGTTTCTTGGCCACAAGATACAAAGCCTTGAATACGTCATCGGTTCCGCGCGCGGGCTTCCGACATTTGATCTTCTTCAACTTGAGCTTGTCTGTCGAGAACCGTTTCAAGTAGAGGTCGGTATTGTAGTAGGATCCATCGCAATCGTAGTTGTCGGTGTGATCTTGCAGATGACATTCGCCAGGCTGTCGTGAACCTGGTCCGCCGTATGCAACTCCGCACTCAAAAGCGACACAAAACCCCATTTGGTCGCACTCCGCACGGCAATCTTCAAGAGATTTTTGTCCAGCAAAATGCAGGTTGTGCCCTTTAACACATTTCCGAGGCATGTGTGTGTAGCCACCAACATCTGCTGGAATCTTGATGTACAAATCCAGGTTCCAATGTGCGCCCCTGCAACTCGAAGGATCATCGGATGTTTGTAGGTTGCAGTCTCGAGGACGATACTTGGGGCTCGACCCGCCTTGATCGCGATAGTACTCAAAGGCCTCGCACCTCCAATCTGCTCTGCACAATCTGCCGCACTCTTCCGCACTCACGTCAGGCACCAACCGGAGGTTGTGGCCAGAGACGCACCCGGACTTCACGAGTTCATAACCGGGCACCTGTTTGGGGCCACCCAGCCGGAGGTCGAGAACGAGCGAGACTTTGCGTAGAGCTTGTATTTGGCCCCAGACTTGCTGTCACAAGAGATGTCGTTGGGGCCACTGTCCGCATCTTGCAGCAAGCACCCTGCTCGGGAAGTGTGGTCATGGCCCGCGTGCACAAAAGCCGTGCAAGCTGGGTATGCATCACAAAGTGTCTTGCAGCCATACAGCGTCCGATTTTGTAGCACATGGATCTTTCGACCCACCTCGCACCCATCTGTCTGCAAAGAGTAGCCCTCCACCTCCGTGAGGCTCGAGTTGTGGGGGGAACTGGCATTCCCTGGCGGCTTGAAGGAAGTCAGATGCGTCACCACCATGCAGCAGAATGCTCCAAGCACACAGGCGCCACCACATCACGCTGGCCCACCTCACCATGTGCTTTGAGGGCTTCGCAGTTGCAGCCGCCGATGATGCCTAGTCACGCGCCGACTTTGCAACTCGGGCCTGTGAGAACACGCCAAGCTCGGCAAGCATGCCTGTCGTCTGGAATCCGTTGGCTATGCTAGACTTATTGAGTTTCCGGAATACAAGAGGATTTCAACAAGCGCCCAGGCAGGATATCTTGCTACCCCCAGCAGGTCCTACGGTAGCCTTGCCCCAATGCCCAGTCAGTGAAGCAGCATAAACCCCAAGCCCCCAATGAACCCGGAGAAATCAAACCCTAAACCACCACGCCAAGAAAGCACAGCGGCCCTGCACCGCCACCCCCGTGGGCAGCGAGAAGCCCGCGGCATAGTCCAAGGGGACGATGCCTGAGCTTTGGGGAGTTCCCTAGACCCTTAAACCCTTAATACCCTTAAAGCCTTGAAGCCGTTAAAGCCCTTAAGAGCCTGAAAAAGCTCTTGAAACCCTTGAAGCCCTCAAAATCCTTGAAGCCCTTAAACCCCTCCGGAACCCTTAAACCCTTAAACCCCAAAAACCAAAACCCCGAGAAGGGGAGGGATGTTCTAAAGTAGGACCTGCTTTCAGGTTTAGGGTTTAGGGTTTGGGGTTTAGGGTTTAGGGCTTAGTGCTGTACGCGGATTCCTTCTAAACGTACCTCCCAAAGGGACCAACACTTCGAAGTCACGTCGTTGCTAGGGCTGTTGGCTTGGGGCTCTCAAACCCTAAACCCCTACACACCCGGGGCCCTGGATACCTTTAACTCTCGGGGGCTAGAATAAACCCATGTAACCGTACAACAGCCCCATACATATATATATATATATATATATAATAACCCTTAAAACAAAACCCCTAAACCCTAAATTCAAAAGCCTTGAACCCTAAACAAACTCCCTTTTGGGGGAAGGGGGGCGGGGGTAGGGGTTGAATTCTCGGGGCAAGGGGGTGAGTGGATGGCTTCGTGAAGGAGGCACTGCCTAAACCGCGGTAGCCCGCAGGCCTTGTGCACATGTTGCTTTAAAGCCCTGACGTCGCCCAACTCTGACAGCTCATCCAAGGGGATGGCCGCTGCCTCTTTCCCTAAAGCCCACCATACGTGAAGGCTGCGCTCGGAAATCTCCATCGCGCGTTTGGGCATTCTTTAAGAGGACGGCTGAGGCAGCAGAGGCCCCGAGGCAGGAGGCATCTACCCATGCAGGGGAATTGCCGTACGTGCCTCAGTGACACAAGTCGCTTGTATACGTTTGTAAGCCGACCACCACAACAGAACAACAAGCAAGACCGCCGCAGAGCGGCGAGGACATGGCCACGTGAACATGGCGCAGGCTCCTCGCGCTGCGGCCGCAGCTGGGCGTTTGCCAGACTCGCTGCCTGAGGAGCTGCCTTCTGCAACCACCATTTCGGGCGGTGCAACGGACGACGAGCTGCTGTCGCTGTCGCTGCCGCTGTCCTGGCAAGGCAGAAGATTTCCAACTTTACGACGCTGCTCCCTTAGAAAGGGGCCAAATAATCAAATCCCACGCGCCGAAGCGGCGTACTTTACGATGCAATTCCCCTGAGAAGGGGCTGCCGGAGGTGTCGTTTCGCCCCACCTGGACTTGGACACCAACCCTTCGTTGTCGTCGGTGGTGAAGTACCACTCGAACCTCCTGGGCGAGTACGAGCAGATCGCCTACCGTGGTCGCAACAAGCAAACCCCAACCTTGAAGGGCCTGAGCGCTGAGGTGTCGCCGACGACTACAAGTGAGGGAGCCGAATCCCCAAGCAAGTCAGGAGCCAGCAGGGTTCCGTGTTGCCGCTTCATGAGCGACTCGGGTTGCAAGAAGGGCCGATCATGCACCTTCAAGCATGACTTCGTGGACAAGAAGCACAAGGGCTCCAGACGCTGGACATGTGGCTCCAAGCAGCACAAGGGCAAGGACTGTCCTCGCCGAGAAGAAGGTCCTGGAAGTGGAGGTGCACCTGTGACCCCGAAGGCCAAGGCGAAGGCGCAACAGCCGAAGCCCCAATCTCCTCAAACCTTGGCGACTGCGACAGCTACAGCTAAGTCTTCGCTTGCACCTGAACCAACTACATCCACGGAACCTGCTTCTGGAAGTGACGGTGCAACGGCGGTGGTTGGTGAGCCTGTGAGCCCCGTGGAAATGAAGGAGCTCATGGAGCAAGCCCAAGCCATGTTGAAGGAGATGCGACAGCTCAAGGCGATGATGTTTGTGGGCGAAGGGATGCGAGAGCTCAGAGACCCCTGCGAGTTTCAGGGTGGGACCACAGGGCATTTGGACAGTGGAGCTTCGCACCCGTTTAGATCTGCGACTGAGGAGGAGCTTCGACGGGCCGAAGATGTGGAGGTCCAGCTTGCAGATGGTGGAAGTGTGGTCCTGAAGCAAGGTGAGAGTGGAACGTTGTTTCCTCCTGCATCGGGTGCTTCGAGCAAGGCATCACCTATAGTTCCACTGGGCGCCCTGGCTGAGGAGCTGGGCTGCGACATCAAGTGGATGGTGGTCACTCATCCTCTGGCCTCATACCAACCAAGGTGGTGGGGTCATGCCCAACGATCTCTGAGACAGGCCTTGAGTCTCATCCGTGAACTTGAAGAACGAAAAATGCTGGCCCTCAAGAAGAACACCCTGGAGACCGAAAGGGCTTTGAAGATCGCCTCCGAGAAGAGGACGTACCGAAGCTTGCTCCAGGAGTACCTCACTTCGGGACAAAGGACATCGTTGCTGGCAGCCATCAATGCGGAGGACTCATCTGTCATGGTGGGGCGAAGTCTTGGAAGGGATCGGAACAGGTTCTCATCGATGCAGAGGTCAGCAAGGCCTTCGGACTGAGGCAAATGGCTGGAGCTTACAGGGCTTTGTTGTGGGCTGCAGTCACAGGCAGAGTTGCTGGAGTTGTTGGTGGACCATCGAGGTGGAGTGGCAATCGGGACGAGCAGATGTTGAAGCAGATGATGATCTGGGAAGTGGCAAGGGAATCAATGGCGGGTCGACGGGGGCAAGATCCTTTCTTTGAGGGGAGGGTAGCTATGGGTGGTGGAGAGCTACTTGGAACGATGGAGCTTTGGAATGAGTTCGCCAAGGTCAACTGCTTGCGCGGCTGTCTCAGGACATGAAGAGCGACTTGTGACCACTTCACCTACCCGAACCCCGACATCTTCCAAGGAGTCTCTGGTAGAAGCTATCGAGGAATGGAAGCACTCCCCGACCCTTGTACAACTTCAAGCATTACGACCACCCAGGCGCTTTGCCGACATGACCAACAAGGAGCTGGAATACTGGAAGGACCATGTGCGAAGTGGTTACCACAGATTCGACAGGAGGTGTCGTACCTGTGTCGAGGCTTCAGGAACCGGTCGGCAACATCGGCGGGTTTCAACACCAAGCTCCTACGTCATCAGCTACGATGTCGTTGGGCCCTTGAAGGGGTGTGGTGAAGAAATCGACTACAACGACAACAAGTATGCCCTAGTGGCTGCCTACACGTACCCGAAGGGGTTGGCCAAACCAAGGAAGGAGAAGCCAGAGGGTGAGAATGAGCCTTTCTTGCCTAAAGTTGAGGAGGAGGAAGAAGTTCCTGAAGGTGGGATTCGTGACTTTCTGAAATGGAATCTGAGCCGGAACCCAGCCTGCAAGAGGAAGAGGACGAGGAAGCCCGTCGATCTGCGAACACCATGAGCGATGAAGAGTACGTCAAGCTCTTCGTGGAGGCGGGACATGGTCTGGAATACGAAACCAGGTACTATGTGAGGCCAATGAGGACAAGAATGGCACGAGAAGCCCCCTTGTCAAGGAGATCTTCCTGGAAGTAAGGGCCGAAGGATTTCCAGTTGCTCGGGCTCATGCAGACAGGGCCAGGGAGCTGAGGCATCAGGAACTCAAGCAGTGGTTCGCAGATAGAGATGTGCTGATGTCGTTTACCGAAGGCCAAGCGCCACAAGCCAACGGAAGGGCGGAAGCGGCTGTCAAGAAGCTGAAGGGGTGGGCACGAAGGCTAGGCTAAGCTGCCAGCTTCCTGTTGGTACCTCGCCATGAATTACTCGGCCTGGGCACATCGACTTCGTCTTGATGGGCGAGAACATGAAGCTTTGCCATTCGGGGTCGAGGTCATGGTGAAGAAGAAGCGCTACACCAAGGAGCCCTGGAGGTTTGATCCGAAATGGGGCCCGGGGTCAGGTTCGCTGGAGGGTACTTCGTGGTGAGCACCCACCTGCGAGAAGGACTGTTGCAGCCCGAGGAGTTTGTGGACAAGGCGGTGTTTGAAGTGGAGAATCCAGCTCCTGAGCGAAGGGCAAGGGGAAAAACCAAGCAGTCGGAGACGCAGGAGGAGAACGACCCTACCCACGAGGCAGAGATCTATGCGGATCGAGTGTTGACCTCCGGGCGACCAATCATGATAGAGGACATAGAGATGGTGATGGAGATGCTGCCAGGTCTACAACAACCACGACAACTCGAAGACCCTGGGGGAAAGACATGGAGCGCAGGCGCCTTCGTCCATGGAGGATGCTGGTCTGAGAACCGCAACAAGGAAGTTTCCGGCAACGACACGGTTGTGAGGCAGAACCGCCCGGAGCAACCAGGTCAGTTATCGCGAGTCGGTGATCTTCCCCATCTCTGAGTTCTCTGGAGGAGAAGTCTGGGCCGAAGAAGAAGGAGGGGAAGATGTGGAGGTCCATGATGGCAAGGAGCGGAGGGGACGACTTCATGATGTTAGCGCGGGATCGGCGGTGATCGATCCTCGAAAGGCACACCTGGTGAAGCCTTGGAAGGGGGACAGGTTGGTGCTTATCGCCTACAACATCCGAGAGCCATGGAGGTTGGTACCCAGGGACAAGGAGCAACTGGACGCCCTGGACTTCAATGTGTCTGAGGAGAACTACGAGCGGCCGGCGTTGAAGGTGATGAATGCCCACGCAAGGGTGCCGGAGGAGGAGGCCACCTTCGTGACAAAAATGAAAGAAGCGGTGGTCGAGCTCACCATGGTCATAGAGGACTTGCAGAACAGGGAGAAATCGTTGAAACTTCTCCTTGAGGAGGAGGAGACCCTTGCGGAGCAGCTACGACGAGCTCGTGGTGTTGTACATGAAGATTTGAGTGGCCTCCAAGATCGCGTCGCAGAATTTCTCCAAGGAGTCGGAGGGCAACTTGAAGGTGCAGTACAAGCCAGGGAGCACCACCTAATGGCCTTGGCAATGGAGGCCGAGACGGAGGTGGACTACGAACGAATGTTGGAGGAGTTGCGGGAGCCCCTGGAGGTCGTCCACACTGTGCCTTTGGCACAAGTGAAGGGTAATCAAGAGGGAGGTGAAGGCTCTCTTTGAATCGGGAACCCTTCGAGCTGCGGACGACGATGAGGCCAAGAAGCTTGAGCTGGAAGGACGCCTACGCACGGTGCCAGCAAAAGGAATCTTTACGTTGAAGCCAGCATGGGTGCCCGAGGACCTCTACAAAAGAAAATGCAGAGTTGTCCTGTGTGGGAATTACATCCCACCAGAAGGGACATCCATGGATGTGTATGCAGGAGGCTCGTCAGCTGAAGCGGTCCGAGTTGCACTATCAACTGCTGGAGCAAGGGGATGGTCTGGGGCGATCTCGGACATAACCTCCGCCTTCCTCTTGGCAGAGTGGCCAAGGAACCTTCCGAAGTATGCAATCAAGCCCCCGAAGGTGGTGTACGACGCCGACCTGAAGGATATCTGCGAAGGACAGACATGGGTGGTGGACCGTCCGTTGTATGGCCTGCGGGAATCACCTGCTTTGTGGAGCTCCTGTCGGAATGATCGCTCCATGAATGGCAAGATTCCTTTCCCAGGTGGCTTCCTTCGTCTTGAACCTCTGGCGTCAGAACCAGACATCTGGAAGGTGCGGATGAGAAGGGAAGGTTGCGCGGCTTGACCGTGACATATGTCGATGACTTCCTCTACCTTGGACCGCCGGACATCATCGAAGCAATGGACAGCTGGGTCAGAAGTGAATGGCCGGCCTCTCCCTTGGAATAGCCCCTGTGATAATTTCCATAAGGGGGAACATCCCAAGTTTCAGTTCTAAACCCCAAAGCCTAGAAAGACCCGAAGCTTTAAATCCATACAACGGATCCGCAACTGGATAGAACAAACGGAACCGATGAGAAATGTGTGTGTGTGTCTCACAATGGGAGACCCCTCGCCCCTGTTTGTTCTTTGGGGGGCGGGAAGGGGGGCGGGGAGGGGGGGAAGTCGCCTAAAAATTTGGAGGTTTGTGAGCGGAGCCCTAGTTTCAGACATCGAGATATTGAACGCCCACAACTTGAACCCTAAACCCTAAACACTATATAAACCCTCACTAAACCTAAACCCAAACTCTAGACCCTAAAACCAGGTCAGGCCCAGAAGCCAGCCAACCCCTCGCCGATGGAGAAGTTCACCGCGTATGTCTCCAGGGCGGTATCGATGACATCCGTGTCTAGATGTAGCCTCAGACAAAGGAAAGGGTTTAGGGTTCAGGGTTTAGTTTAGGGGCCCTGACAATTCCAACCACCGAATGCCCCTCAACCCTACATCCTAATACAGGGCCTGAAGAATTAGAGGAGGGTTTTGGGGGTTTTTATCGTATAGTTATAAAGGGACCCTAAGGGAATACTATTAGTATTCTTCCGACCCCCATAGTACACCCTAAACCCTGAAGCCCCGGAGCATCCCTGGACCGGAGCTGCACCAGTTTCAGCCCGGCGCACAAAGTAGATCCACAAACAAAACTTAAGCACAGCCAGCACAGTAAACCCTCTGCCCTGAATCCTGAACTCTAAACACTGAACCTCAAACCGAGTGCAGTATGCGACGACGAAGAAGCATGGACCAACATCCTAAACGCTGAAACCCTAAACCCTAAACCCTAAACTCTAAACCCTAACCACCTAAACCCTAACCCTAAACCCTAAGCTCTAAACCCTAGACTCTAAACCCCAAGAACTGAAGGAGAGTCATCCGATGTGCAGAACCCGCTGTCGGGGCTGCGGAACGACATGACAGTTGCAGTTTAAGGTTTAGGGTTTAGGGATGTTGGCCCAGCTTCAGTTCTCGAGAGGTATAGAAACCGAGTTTAGATTCTTGGGTTTAGGGTTTAGGGTGCAATCCCTACAAGCCCGAAAACCCTTTTGAACTCTGCAAAGCCCACGAACCCCAACCCTACACCCTAAACCCTAAACCTAAACCCCCAACCCTAAACCCTAAACCCTAAACCCTAAACCCTAAACCCTAAACCCTAAACCCTAAACCCTAAATCCTTGCCAGGAAGCTCGCGCAGGCGCTCACGCTCAGGTTCCGCGAAGAGCAGCACCCTCCCGGCCAGGGCTAATGCCTTCATGGCAGGTTTAGGGTTTAGATAGGGTTTGGGGTTTAGGGATTGAGTGCTTGAGTAAGGGGTTGAATTAGGGTTTGGGTTTGTAGGGCTTAGGCTTAGGGTAGGGTCTCGGATTTAGGGGGTGTAAGATTTATAGCTCTCAAAACCTCGAGCTTTGGTGTATAAGGTTTCGGTGTGACGGTTTATCTATAGACGAGAACCGTTATCGCGGAACCAAGAACCGGAAACTGTCCACAAGTATTGTTGATCCAGAGACAGCGGAGGGGGGACGGGGTTTCTCGAGATTGGGGATTTCGTGTGTAGCATGTAGGACCCCCCAGCAACCTAGGAAAGCAAATCGGTACCCTGCTGGGAGGTCTTAGATAAGGCCCCCCCGCCCCCCCCCCCCCCAACAGCAAGGGTGGGTCCCAGCCATCACGTGGCATAGTTGCACACGGGCTGTGACAGCGCGGAAGTGCTGCGGCGGTACCCAAAACCCAAAACCCCAACACCCTTAAATCCGGGGTTGTGCCTACTGTCAGGGGCACCGGCCACTTTCGATGTGGAGGTTGCCCAGGAACCCTCGAATGGCTAATGGCTTAAACCATGATGACCTTCGAAGGCAACACCTGTTGCTGTACGTAAAATGAATACAAGACACCCTTTACTAACCATAAACCCCAAACCCCAAAACCCCAAACCCTAAACCCTAAAACCTAAACCCAATAGTGGGCTGCAATTCAAGAGGAGTCCTCAAAAGCCCAAAGGGCCTGCGGTCGCAACACCTGCGCCTGAAGGCCCGGCCCACCATCACCCACCTCCCACAGGGGGTTGGTGTGTAGAGGTTGACATTGGATATGAGGTTTAGACCCTAAACCCGAACCCGAAACCCTAAACCCTAAACCCAGCAACCCCTCGGGGTTGGTGTTTCGCTTGCAGAGAGGCACAGGGCGATCGGGTTCAGTTTCCGTCTCTTTAAGGGGCGTTGGTTGTTTTGCTTGTCGCGGTTTCAGGGGGCCTGCGTGTTTGCCTGCAAAAAATCTGTACATACACATGCATATATATATATATATGTATATATGCATAGACACGCATGTTAAGAGGGTTCAGGGCAGATTCAGGGAGGATTAAGATTTTTGCTATCGGAGGGGGGGTTTTGGTGAGTTTAGGGAGTACGGAGTCGGGGCTCTGTGGCACCGGATGTGTTGGCGCTTGGGCCTAAGGGGGGTAGGTCGGGGGGGTGGGTGGGTGCTGTAAACCCTGAAACCCTGCAACCTCTGAACCCAACAACCCTAAACCCTAAACCCGAAACAACTCTACACCCCAAACCCCAAACCCTAAACCCTAGACAACTCTAACCCCAAACCCTGAACCCAAACTCTGAACACCGAACCCAAAGCCGCTCGAGCGCACCTCGCTGGGCACAGCACCTGGGCAGGAAGCAGACGATGCGCGTGTGTAGGGTTTAGGGTTTAGGGTTTAGGGCTTAGGGCTTAGGGCTTAGGGTTTAGGGATTAGGGTGTATAGGGTTTAGGGTTTAGGGTTGAGGGTTTAGGGTGCAGGGCTTACGGATGTCTAGCATTGAGGGTTTAGCGGGTTAAGGGTTCGAGGGTCTAAGGCCACGAAAGCTGGAGGAGTACCCTAAACCTATATCCTAAACCGCCCCAGACTTGAAAAACCCTAAACCCTAAACCCAAAAACCCTAAAACCCTAAACCCCAAACCCTAAACCCTAAAACCCTAAACCCTAAACCCTAAACCCTAAATACTTAACTCCGTGCCGCGAAGACCCAACTGGGAGCTTCACACTGGTACTCCAAAGAACCCAAAAGGAAAACTAAACCTTTCTTCATGCAGGCAACGATTGCAAAACCCCTTTATGGGGTTCTTCGATAACCTAGCCTGTAAGGTACTTTAGAAGTAGGGTGATAGCATGGTCCCTATAGATGTTGCCTTCTTCAGGGTTCGCATAACCCTCGAACCTCCAATTCTGCTATATACATCGTTTAGAGTTCCGGGATCTCCGGTAGCCTAGAAATGAGAAGGGCTCCCGATTTGGTATTGGGTAGTTGTACATAACGAACCTAAGATCGGGAAAGGGGCCCACAGGTAGCCCGAAACCCTAAACCCTAAACCTGTACCCAATATCTGAATATAACAAGAAGACTGCAGCCAAGCTGGCTTCGCAGCCTGAACTAAGCCAAAACTAGTCTAGGGTTCAGGTTATTGGGTAGAGGGTTTAGGGATTGGGATTTAGGGTTTAGGGGGCAGCCGGATTTTTTGTTCAGTCCACCCTTGTCGCGCTCGCCGGCAGAGGGGCGGGTCCTACGCACCGTGCACTTAAAAGCCCCCACGCTGTTGTCATGGCTGCTGTCGGCAGGTAGCTGGCTAGCTAGGTACATGGTAGCCCAGTAACAGTATTCTACTAAATTCTAATCAGGGCACAAGTTTTCTTGGGCTGGTTACGTGGTGTCACTGCTGAGACATGGACAGTTTAGACGCCTCAGAGTCTGTGAGTGAGTGAGAGTGGCTACGTGTTTAGGGAACCTTGAACCCCCCAAAAAGAGGGAAAAGGGCACCATGGGTAGGTGGGGAGGCACGGTGGGAGCAACTCGACAGCCACGTCGGCGCCCTGGAAAGTCATGCCGCGATGGCAGCGCGCCAGTGGGTCAAGGAATGTTCAGAGGGTCAAGAGACCACCCTAAACCCTAAATCCGAACCCTAATTCGACATCCTATAGGATGTCGGCCTGTTCCACCCTAAAGCCTAAACCCTCAATCCTAAACCCTACAGCCTACATCCTGAATCCGAAGCCCCAAGACAATTGTCCAAATGAGGGCTCGGGGTTTCGCGTGGAAATGCAAGTTTGCATTTTCGTGCTGAGGGAATCACACGGGCTATTGTCAAGGAGCCCAAATTCCGATGGCATGAGAGAAGATATATATATATATATGCTATATGATATTATATCATGTGACTGGGCGACATGCTATAAATGCCGAGGATTCTGAAGCAGCCCGTCCGCCCCCCCCCCCTTCTCCCCCAGAGAAAAACAAAAAAACATAAGAACGGTTTTTGGCGTGATCAAACATTAGCATCCAAAAGTGCTGCAAATGAGGTAAGTACCGAGGACTCTGGAAGCAACCCTCCCCCCAAGCACAAAGTGAAACGCGAGAAAAGCGGCGTTTCCGTCAGAGATTTAAACAACATCGAGATATCGGCACATCCTGGGCCAAGTAACCCCCCCCCCCCCCGCCATCGAAAGTACCAAACTCGACAGCCCTTTCACGGCGGCGAAAAGGATACCTACCGAAAACTTCGGGGGGAGGAGGGGAGGGGGTGGGAGGGGGGGTGGGGGTGCTGACGGAACCTAAACCCATAGAAGGCCTATACAAAGAGCTTCGGACGTAGATGGGGGGTTTAGGGTTTACGTGGAGGCTCACGATGGGAACTTATAAGTAGGGTTAGAAGTAGGGTGCCTATAGTTACAACCATGTTTAGGGTACTTATAAGCTTACTCCCAACTGCCCATGAACCGCCAACTAAATTCTAAACCCGAAACCCTACGTAATTACCAATGAACCTCCAAGTCGCTTTTGGGATGGAGGGTTTAATGTTTAGGGAATTGCCCTAAACCCTAAACCCTAAACCCTAAACCCTAAACCCTAAACCCTAAACCCTAAACCCTAAACCCTAAACCGGTCACAAGCACCTGCCGTTTGATGTCAAAAAATTAGGACCCCTTTGTGCCATCCCAAGAATACAGAAAGGCCAGAATGCACCGGAAAAAAGAGCTTTAGGGTTTAGGGTTTAGGGTTTAGGGTTTAGGGTTTAGGGTTTAGGGTTTAGGGTTTAGGGTTTAGGGTTTAGGCTTTTGGGTTTAGGGTTTAGGGTTTTGGGTTCTAATTTTCGGAAGCCCCCCATATTGGGAGCGGAAATAAACTGCTTACCTGGACCGAAAAGAACTCCTGGCTTCTTCTTAGGGGCTTTAGAGCCTCTCGGGTTTGCCTCAGGGCTTCGGGCTTCGGGAGAAAGCTGGAAGGCGCTTGTGGCCTAATGTGGGGCTTATCGTTGATAAAAGGTGTTGTGTGTTGAGTCTGACTCTCCTTCAAATCACAAAGGGCTCCGACTGTAGGATTCGCCTGAGGGACCTGCTGGAACCGATGAGAAGGCGCATGGACACGTCGGTTGCAGGCTATTTGCTGGTTGAGGGTCAAGGGGCTGAACCTAAACCCTAAACTTTAAACCCTAAACCCTAAACCCTAAACCCTAAACCCTAAACCCTAAACCGGTTGCTTTGAGGAACGCCCCGGCAGCTGCAGTTCATCTCTGTGCAGATCCCTCAAGCAAGTCCGCGTGCAACGCGGCGGAGTCCCAACCGCTGTACCTTGTGGACTAAACGAACTGGAAAGCCTCACGGCTCGCAAACTCTGTCAGAAATTAGTCGTATAGCGTCCCCAAACCCTAAACCCTAAACCCTAAACCCTAAACCCTAAACCCTACACCCTACACCCTAAACTCGTACATTTCCCCAACTTTAGTCCGCAAGGAAGGAGCATCTCACCTGCTGCGACTGGAATACCAAACACGAAACGACCAAATTTCAGTTTGCACTCAGCAGATGTGGAGAATTCTGGCGTCCACCCGTACGGGACCACTTTCCGTTTCGTTGCGACACCCAAAGTACCCCAAAACCCTAAACCCTAAACCCTAAGGTACTGGGGGAGCCTGGAGAGCCAAAACCCCTAGAACCATGAAACAGAACACGAATTATACTAGGCTTCGGAGTTCCTGGCAATGAATTTACTCTGCTTGTTGTTTTCAAGAAACCCCTGGTAACGAGCGCTGATCCCGCAAACCGAGACCCTCTTGTGAAACCGACGTCGCGGAGGTCGGTGAGCTGCACAAACCCGTCAGAAATCCGCGCGAGGGCTGCTGCAAGCAGCCCCCGTCTTTTGCTGACGTTGGGGTTGATCTAAGCCGTGAGCCCTTCCAATCCAGTCCTTACACTGTAAGGTGCCAACTCGGATCTCTGGCAAAGTATGAATCCTTAGATCAGCCCCGCAAAAAAAGCATGGAACACAACTGGACGTGCAGTGGCGTCATCTTTCGGAAGAGTTGTCCAAGAACTACCCCACGGAGCGCAAGCATACTACATTCGTTGAGTCCACCAAACACCGTCTCACATGCTCGGTTCCGAACACCTCAAGAAGGCCCCCCCCCCTCCCCCTAAACCCTAAACTAACTTATGCCGCCCATTTTTCAAGAGGAATACTTACACGCACACCCTACCCCCCCCCCCTTCCGAAGAAGGGAACGAGGGATTCTACTGGGCTTTCTAAGCCCCAAAAGCCCCGTAGCTTTCACTGGGCTTGAAAGGTTCCTTCGTAGGGTTTAGGGGGTAGGGGGGTTGCAGGTTGGCAGGGTTTAGGGTTTAGGGTTTAGGGTTTAGGGTTTAGGGTTTAGGGTTTAGGGTTTAGGGTTTAGGGTTTAGGGTTTAGGGTTTAGGGTTTGGGGTTTAGGATTTAGGGTTTGGGGTTAGGGGTTAGGGGTTAGGGTTTAGGGCGAAGTAAGAAGCAAGCCTAAGATGAAGCCCAACACGCCCGGATGCCTGAAACCTACGGTAAAACAGCCTGCGACGCGTCTTGCTGCAGGCTCCACTTCTTGGAAGCACGTGGGGGGTCCGGGTGATGCATTAACCCCTAAACCCTAAACCCTAAACCCTAAGCCCTAAACCCTAAATCCTAAACCCTAAACCCCCAAACCCCAAACCCCAAGACTCCTGGGTGGCCAGGAACCATCTTGCAACAATGGTATCCTTTTTGTTGTTGGCGAGTTTGCAAAGTAACCTGGACCCCGAAAAACAGGGGCAATGGGGTACCACTGGGCTACTAAGTGTCTACTGTGGCTTGAAAAAGTAACCGGGACCCGAAAAAGAGACCCGAAACAAAAAAACAAAAGCAAACAGAAGGGGGGCAACAGGGGTAACTTGGGATGTTGCCCCTTTCCACTCACAGGCCTTAAAATTGAGATTCTAGTACCCCACCCCCCCCCCCCCCCCCCGCTGTTTAGAATCCCTAGTATTAAGGACTGCTAGTATCAGGGGGAGCATCCCAAGGGGTACCAAAAGTTTTTCGGGTTTAGGGTTTAGGGTTTAGGGTTTAGGGTTTAGGGTTTAGGGTTTAGGGTTTAGGGTTTAGGGTTTAGGGTTTAGGGTTTAGGGTTTAGGGAGAGCTTGGGTACGCGTCTGAGGTCTTCGGACGCTGGGGGGCCTCGGGGTCAGGGTTCAGAGGTGGGGCTCGGGGCTGAGAAGTGTTCCTACCATTTGCTTCAGAACCCCCGAGGATGCAAAACATGAATCCCTATATTACCCTTATAAGGAAGAATATGTTTAATTTGTTGAGATTTGTTTAAGAAATTCGTAGGTTCCG